CCACTCCCTTTACCCCCCTGTCTTTACCACAAGCATACCCGTTACTTACCTTTTTCGTACCCCTGCCACTTTTCCTGTAGTTGTAATTCGGTGTACCTTCACGCCGTTTTATTGTGCGTTTTATCTGTCTTTTGTTTCACGCTTTCGGTCTGCTGCTGTTTTCGCTCTGCAGACTTTGTGCAGTTCATTGACCGTTTGTGAAGCCACGTAGAAATATCGCTCTCAATTTGTTGAGTTCCCTCTCTGGCATTCTAGAAGATTTGTTAGAAATGCTGTTTAGGATTAGCTTGCGTCGTCGCTTTGCGTCTTTTCTGGCAATGTTTGAGCAGTTCCCTCGAGGCAGCTCCCCAATCACATCATCCATATCAGTCCATTTGTCATTATTGTATTACTCGTGTAAGCTGTTTCTGAGCCTTCATTGTAGGGTTTGAAAGACGGTGTCCGAGCCAACTGGCTGTGGCTAACAGTTGCACATGTGTCAATGGAAAGTGGCAGCAGCCACATGGTAGTGGCTTATCATGGGATCACCTGTCATTTCCAGCCTCAGCCAGTCGGCTCGGACGCAACCTGCACTGTGCGAGTAGCAGTATTAGCGTGGGATTATTATGCCGCTTGTGTAACACCTGCTTACGCATAATTGTTACATAAATCAGGACAAATCTGGCTTTACATAAGTACCCATCTCTCTTTTGTGTGTATCCCCCGGGAAAAAGACACCTGCTTTCCCATCATTTTAGTTTTGGAAATGGAAATATGATGGAATTATTCAACCAGCTCATATTAAAAGCCAAACCCCACTGATAAAGAAGGAATGTTTGGACGTATCTCTAAGCCATCAATTTCAAATTTCTGGTAAATATATTTGGAAACGAAAAGATAAAAATGTTAGAACCGCTGAACAGACAAAGCAAGAATGATGTATCACTTTTTGAAGATCAGAAAGGAACGTGTTTCAAAACAACCCCATTGGCGTACCTCAAGGTTTTGATAAAGATGGTCGCTTGTCGCCCAACTGTTGTATAACATGAATTTAATCGTCTGAGGTGATCTCGAGGTGAAGCGGAGGCTATCGCACATTGACGTCAGCAATGCTTTGTGCCTATCATTACCTTTGCAATTGGCATGGTTAGACTCAATTCAAGTCTGATGTCATGACTCTGCTGTGGCTGTTACAAACCTCTGCAGTCTTTCACTTTTTCTTGAAAAAGAAAAATCTAAGGCCTTGTAGAGACATTGGTAAACTTCGACACACCCAGCAATTTCTCACAAAGGTACTTGTCCTCGCAGAAAAGAAACATAATAAGCCTCTTTTTTGTTGTAGCAGTCGCGCTTCCTATCTCTCCCCCCTCCCCTTTTACAACCGCGCTCCGCCCATCTGGGTCTGGTACCACGTGGCCGTCACCCTCTCCCCTTCTGTTTTTTCCTCTGTTTTTACTCAACACCTCCAGACCTATCCACAGGCCCCTGGCCAGGACCCAGTCCGCCCCCTTGCCCACCAGCCAGCAGCAGATTCTCATGCAGCAGCACCAGCAGCACCAGCAGTTCTTGCACCAACAGCAGCAGCAGCTGATGGCGCTGCAGCAACGACAGGTAAGTGTAGTCAGTGGCAAGTTGACATGTTGGCCCGCTTTTTAGTTTAGTTTTCAGGAAGTGGCACTGTAGGTCTCAAGTACACGTGAGTGCTTGGTTTTTAGGGACTAATTTTTTAGGTCACATTTTATCTCCTCAAATATTTCTCCCACCTTAGCCTCTGTTGACCTATTGTTATGCTACATAGTCACTGCTTAATGGTACTTAGTAGGAATTCACGATAAAACCGTTAACATTTATGTTCATTCATTCAGCTCCTCCCAGGAGCTCAACTTGATCTTAGAACAATTGGCAGTTCCATATAAAGTTTTTTTTAATTAATGTTCATGCAAATTTGCACAACTGAGAAGTCTAATGCATACTTTATCTCAGTAAGACCTAACTGGAGATAACTTGTACATGCAAGATGCAAGGAATTGTTTTTTGGGGGCCTACATTTTAATATTAATTGTTTATGTTGCAGAATCGAGTGATTAAAATGCATTTGCAGAAAGCTTGCTTAATAATTGAATTTGACAGCTTGTCCATGAATGCATGTGCATTCACCATAAAGATCTTCTTACAGCAGGAAGATGCAGTCGCTGAGAAGGAGGCAGAGGAGGCAGAGCACAAGCAGGTGCAGAGCCTGCCGCTGAAGAACATCACAGAGATCAAGCAGGAGCCCATCGACATTGAGGAAGAGGACGAGGAAGAGGAGGAACGCTTGCAGCTCCAACAGGTCAGAGGTCAATGCCAGAATCACAGAGCGGTAGGCTCGGTGCGTGAAGGGGAGACGGGGTGTTTTAATGTCGAAGCGATGCCTTGTCGGGGGCTGCGCACTGTCTGCATTTTGGATGGGTTCTCCATCACCGAGAAAGAGAGCTCAGTTAAGGAATAGAGGCTTTGCAATGGAAGCCACCTTGTAGGGCAGTTCTGTTGTTCAGCAGGGAAACCTCCTTTGTGCAAACCCTATGGGAAAAAAAGCAGTGGCCCACAAGATGGCAGCCACGTGAAACCTCTATAAGGGATGTGTGTGCAAGATTGAAACAGTCACCGAACCAGCCTGTCTCTTTTTTTGTGAGGGGTACCTGGGCATCGAGTAGATCGAACTCACGCTTTCAGTCCTCGGTACTTTTAGGCACCAGATTAGATGTATCTTGAGTCTGCATCGCCATTCCCAGGTATCTTGGAACTCAGCTCAGCCACTCAAAAGTTGTGCTCATACCCAAAGTTAGCCGGAGCGCAAAAATTATCTTAGCAATAAGTCAAACGTTATAAAGTCTGCACTGGAGAAGAAATGCATTGCTTGAAACTGATGTTGTAATTTTTGGGGCACACTGTGCAGCATTGAGTTGTGAGAGTTAACCCCTTTGCGATGTTGGACTGCAAACGCCACACCGTTGTATGAGGATTAGTGCATTCCACACATACAGTCTATTCACCAGGCAGCTGCTGGTTCACTGGGGCCTGCCGCTGGACAAAGATTTGCATACTGGGCATACCACAGCCCAGCAGTCATGATCAAAAGAATCCCTGCATGAAGGGGTTAAATATGAAGACTGAAGGCCTTCGTTTACTGACATTCTGTTTGTTCAGGAGCAAGAGGAGCTGATGCGTCAACAATCACTGGGATGCCTCCGCTTGACTGGAACAGGTAAGTACACCGGTGATGCGTGATCCTTGCCTTGTGTGGTGTGTAGTCTTGCCTGTCACTGGTTGGCCCCGTTGTCCTTGTTGTAGCGCGTGACCTGAGGTCAGAGGGGAGTGCACCTATGGGCAGCCTATCCTGACAAAATGCTGCCCAGCGTTATTTGAACTGTATACTGATGGCCTCGGGTCACCTGACAAAGGGCGAATGGGAGAGGCCATGGATTGAAAGTTACACTCCTTCCAAAAGTCGTGGCTGTGGCTTGCTATCGCACGTGCCTATGGAAGCCACTTCCCATAGACATGTGTTACTCCAAGCCATAGCCAGGTGATTTGGACATAGTCTTATATGGTAACCCCTTGATGGATCCTAGAATACATATGGGGAGTTGCACCCCAAATTTTATGAAATAAAAACACAATGCGAGGAAAAACAAGTGCAGAAGGTAGTTTTTTGGTTTTTTTTTTCAGTTGAATACACCGCTTGTGTCATTTTGTCCTTTTTTTGGAGTGCCTCCCCTTTTGGCTATTCTGGATCCGCCCCCTTGCTTGCAACCCTTCATTCTGTGCGAATTGTAACAAACGCTCGTCTCTGGACTCCCTCCTCTCTCCTTGGATGGTGTTCGTAGAAGCCTTGAGGGCGCTTTAACTGTGGATCACGTGGTGTGCCCCTGCCAGTTGGGGCTTCACGTGTCGCGCACATGTATTTCGAGTTGTACGCACTGTTCACGTGAGGTTACAGATGAGTAAAACTCACTTGATCTACCATGTTAGAGCACCCTTGGTCATATCTTGGTTGAAGGCTGTTAATCCCAGTACACCCAACCTCTGAGAAAGTCATTCAATGTCATTGTCAGTTTTGGTGTTTTTTTTTGGGCTGTAACTACCCCCTTTCACATTCCTTACCTTTTCATATTCCCCTTTGAATACCCTCATGAGAACATTTTCCCTGACAGATAAACCCCCAGATTTTAGGATTCCTAGGGAAAATTCTGTTCAGTTTGTAACATCGAGAAGGCAGAAGCAAACTCCCCCAAATGAATAAGTGATCATCAAACTCACATCCAGTCGCTGTTGTATGTGTTGAAGCTCTCATTTGGATCTCCCTGAGCCGAAGTATCTCCCAGAGTGTGTATCAACCCTGTAGCCAGTTTACCCTCCTAGCCTTCCAGCCTTCTTTTCACAGCTTGGTCCAATAATTCAGATCATTTTTGGCACCAATTTGCAAACAAAAGAGGTTGACTGGTGTTTGGGTGGTAGGATGTCCAAACGTTTTCCACACTTGATTCACCACAATTGTCGTTAGAACGCAAAATGCCATTCTCCTTTTCTTAAGGAAACTGAAATTTACCGACAGGATTAGATGTCCGATGACACCTGTGCATTCCCCCCCCCTCCTCCACAGACACGTTACCGGGTAACCGGCCCAGTAGTAGCGGGCATCGCCCCCTTTCCCGAGCCCAGAGCTCCCCCGCCGCGGCCAGCCGTCCGGGCATGCTCGGAGCCGGCACGGATCACCACCACCATCTACACCACCACCATCATCACCACAACCTCCCCCACCATCACCACCAAATCAAACATTTGTTCACCACAGGTACGGACCCTCCCCCCACTCCCCTCGTTTCTTTGCTCCACCCCCCCCCCCTTGGTTTTCTTGATGTGTGCCCTATGGTGCGGTTTCTTTTAATGCAGTTCAGTCTGACGCCCTGCACCGTGACTATGAGTGTCGATTGCCCTGTACTGCTCTCTTGTGTTTTGATCACTTGGTCGTGATTTTGTTTTGTTGTTTCTGAACGATGAGAATTGGATCTTTCTTGAAAATAACCACTTTTGAAATGTTATCGTGCTTTGTACTTTAATTTGCTTGACATTTGGGTCTTCTTTGGTACTAATAATCTTCGGTTTCCTATGTGAAAGATTAACCATTGAAAGCAGCTTCCTCTACCACTAAAAGGCTGCTTCTGAAGAATTTCCAACTTAGTATGCAGACCTCAACCTGTTACCACCGCCCTCTGTCAGCTTTTTTTTTATTCAACTCAGAGATGAGCCGCCCATCGTCCGTACTGTCCATTTATTTCTTACAATTTTTGTGTTCACATTTTTTGAAGCAACTTCACTCTATTTACCTGAGGATGTTATTAGATTTGGACCCTCGATTCCCTGTTCTGACTTAAGTTATCGATAAAAATGAGTTCTCGGCTCTCTTTGCCACTGGCAGGTCTTGCCTACGATACACTGATGCTGAAGCATCAGTGTACGTGTGGTAACAACGCCGCACATCCTGAGCATCCGGGCCGGTTACAGAGCATCTGGGCGCGTCTTCAGGAGACGGGCATCGCCAACCAATGCGAGGTCAGTCACAAGAAATTTATTCAGTTGCTCAGTTAGTTTAACCCCAACCCCAAGGTACTCTTGCAAGGAGCCCTGAAGCCTGCAAAATCCTCCAGTGTACGGAAAACCAAGGCTGGCATTAGAGGTGTCAAAACTTTAAGGAATTTCAGCTCATCACCTTTTCTTTTCTCCTTGCAGCGCATCCGGACCAGAAAAGCTACCTTAGAAGAGCTACAGTCTTGCCATAGGTTGGTAAAAGTCTCTTAACGAAAAATGCATAAACACATTCTCTACCTGTTTTTACAAATAGGCATCATCACGACCACACAAGTCACCTTTCTTTTTATGTACCTGTATTCACAAAGTTGGTTCCCTTTTTTCTCTCTCTCAGTGAGGGGTACGTTTTATTCTACGGAACCAGCCAACCGAACAGACCCAAGCTAGACAGCAAGAAATTAGGTCAGTAAATGGAGCTTTTCAGATTGGAAATTCTAGATGTGCAACCATTTATAAGAACATCACATGGGGTGGGTAGTGTGCACAAAATTAGAGGTGGACAGACTTTCCCGCCCACCTGTCCGAGGGCGCTTTCCATTCTTGTGCCAGCATTTTTCACAGCACGATTAGGTATCCTTGAGAGTCAGCAGTGGTTAAACGTCTGAATGGGATGTTTCTTTCTCCAGCCTGTATTCCTAAACTGAACTTCACCTGGTTGCCCTGCGGCGGTCTGGGGGTGGACAACGACACCGTCTGGAATGACTTACACTCCCCAAGTGCTGCCAGAATCGTAAGCTGCCCCTTCCCTCTCTCCCCCCCCCCCCAGCAAGAGAAAGTGTCATTGGAGATTCAAGAATCAAGGAGCCTGGTTTGAGGCCGGGTTTGGTCCTGCGATTCTGTTCAACGACACAGAGTAACTGTGTGTGCCGTTGGCTGTATCAGGCCACAGATTTTGTGGGTCGTCACAGAAACTGTGCAAAGTTTATCCTAAGACTGTTTGGGAACTCTACTTGTCCTACAAGGAAGGCTCCGTGTTCTGAGAGGAGTATTTCTGACAGATTGGGGACATGCAAAGATTCAGAGACTCTGAAAGCTTATGGTTGAGATTTTTTTTGCTTCAGTGTAGGCATTCCTGTAAATGTTTGTTTTCCGTTCCTCCTAGGCCTCTGGTTCCGTCATCGAGCTGGCCTTCAAAGTGGCCGCTGGTGAGCTGAAAAACGGCTTTGCCGTGGTGCGGCCGCCGGGCCACCACGCCGAGACCTCCCAGGCCATGGGCTTCTGCTTCTTCAACTCGGTGGCCGTGGCCGCCAAGCAGCTGCGCCTCAAACTCAAGCTCAACAAGATCCTTATCATTGATTGGGTAAGGCCTCGCCATGTGATCAGAGAATCCTTGTCACCAATAGTGCCTTGGCTGGTAGTCATGTGGTTCACTGTTGTTTTTTTTATTGTTGATTGGTTGTAATTGATCAAGTGGTCCAAATTCTGATTTTCAGGAAGAATCATCCACATGGCTGAAATTCTTGATTTTATACCACCGACCATGGCACTCACGTTTCAACTGTTGATTGATCAAGGTGACAGCAGTCACGATGCAATGGATTGATTGATTGGGTTTGAAAGGGTCAGCTCAGTTTTCCAATCAGAAAATATCTATTGTATTGTTGGCTCAGCCCGTGCCGTATTTCCCGTGATTCCAGATAAAATACACAAAGCAATGATTTGGATTTCAATTTTGATATTTGCATCACAATAGGATGTTCACCATGGCAACTCCACCCAGAAGATCTTCTATGAGGATCCCCACGTTCTTTACATCTCCCTGCATCGTCACGACGAGGGCAACTTCTTTCCTGGCACTGGTGCACCTGATGAGGTATGAACGACGCACTTGATTCGGCGTCTTGTAAACCAAAACATTTTATCTGCCGTGAGTGATTGAATCTTAGATTGTCCATTCGTGCATTTGTTATTTTCCTCCCTCTTTGTGGGCAGTGCGGATGCGGTGCTGGTCTTGGCTACAATGTCAACATTGCCTTCCACGGCAACCTGGACCCACCGATGGGCGACACGGAATACTTGGCTGCCTTCAGGTAAGCTTACTCAGGATGAGGCTGAAGTGATTTGATTGGTTCATGAGACCAAAGGTTAGAGATTCAAATGTAAAATTGAAGGAAGAAAAATCAGGGCAGGAGTTGGTGGCAAATTTTGATAGGGACACAGATGCAGAACCAAACAACTGTAAGTTATTGGGCCGACGGTTTTCAGAAATCAAACAGCGTCTTTTTTTTTGTCAAAGACGGCCAGATGTTTGTGAAAAATTAATCTAATGTAGTGGGCCTTACTGCACTTGTATTTTGTGTGTGTGCTTTCATTGTTCTGAAGTGAGATTGGAACTGAGAGTTCCAGATGATGGATTCAATATATCTGATCTCTCTGTAGGTCTGTGGTGCTGCCCATTGCACGGGAGTTCTCCCCCGACGTGGTCTTGGTCTCTGCTGGTTTTGATGCCGCTGAGGGACACGCCAATCCCCTCGGAGGCTACCAAGTCACCCCCGCTTGTAAGTGGAACATTCCATAGTGGCTTATCAAATCATTGTGGATACAAAACCATTTCAAATGTAACAAAAGAAAAATTCTAAGTACTTATGTTTGGAAAGATCCTAGACTGTAAAGGGAGAAAAAAGCTGGAATTTTATTGAAAAGAATTTCTCAGTGAATGATTGCTTTCTTTTGCTTTGGAAACGGACAAAGCCTTCCATCAAAAAGTTGACCTGCATGAGAAGATATCTGCCAGAGCCAGTATCTGTTCTCATAGAATTTCTCAAAGAACCCGTAAATGACCCCAGATCCTTCTGGCCGGTTTAGGTTTTGGCTACATGACCAAGCAGCTGATGACCCTGGCCGGGGGTCGCGTGGTCCTGGCCTTGGAAGGCGGCTATGACCTGCCAGCCATCTGCGACTCCTCCGAGGTCTGCGCGCAGGTGCTGCTCGGGGATGAGGGCCCACAGCTGAGCGAGCGCGCCATGACGTCGATCCCCAACGAGAAAGCAGTGGAGTGTCTGCAGCGTGCTATCCAAGTCCAATGTAAGTTGCTGGGGTCTTGGGTTCCGCCTTAGGTTCCTTGGGGAAACCTAATATTTTTTTTTTTACTACTTCAGCTTCTTACGCTGTGCCACCACTGAACACTGTGAAAATGGTGAGATGGGTGTTCACACCTACGTCAGGTGTGCCGGTCATTTCATTGCCCAGAGCTTGCATATAGGGCCAGAGAAGCCTAGATACAACTTCTTAAAGAATCTGTTCAATTAATTTTGCTCCGCAATCTTTGTGCATCTGTATACTCTTCTCCAGTGATGTGAAAACTGTTTGAAATCCAAATATTGAAGGTTTTCTGTTCGGGTGAGGGCACTGGTGCTGTGATGAAAATCAGGGAGGTCAATCAGTTCACCCTAAATTTGCTCTTTGTAAAACATTTCTAGGGAAAGGTTGCTCACTGACTTTTTACTGTATTCTTACACAGCAATGAATTGTCAAAGAAAGTCATGTTTCGCGTACCCTTCAAGGCCCGTTACCAGCTCTGCATTTAAATGAAACTGCCTGAAGTCAGGCTCTCGTCTGAGAAATAGCTATGTGTTTATCACTCGACTTCCGTTTACAAAAATTGGTGTGATCTCCTCACATTTCTCAGCCGAGTACTGGACCAGTGTGCGAGCCATGGGCCCCCTGGTCACATGTTCAGCCCAGGAATCCAACCAGCTCCTCCAACGAGAGAAGGACGAAGCAGAGACTGTCACTGCCATGGCTCTACTCTCAGTCAGACAAAAAGCTAGGTAGGTCAATGAAGGCAGTACTTACCAGTGGAGTACTATCAGTGGGGTACTATCAGTGGAGTACTATCAGTGGGGTACTATCAGTGGGGCACTATCAGTGGAGTACTATCAGTGGGGTACTATCAGTGGGGCACTATCAGTGGGGTACTAAAATTGGGACTCATAGTAGAGTATTAACAGCAGTGTTTCCGTAAAGAAACAAGTATCATAGCATTCAATGAAAACTTTTTAAGTTAGAAATATTTAAGGTTATTTGTGTCTTTGCCTTGAAGGTCAGAACCAATGGAGGAAGATTATAAAGACGAGTCATAGTGGATCGGTGTCACAGATGAAAATCTGCCACCGGGTGGTATCCAGTCAGCTTAGCAGGCTCTGCGGTCTGCAGCTTAGCAGGCTCTGCGGTCTGCATTGCCAGACCCGTTGGAACTGTGGGAGGGAAAAGTGCGAGTACCTCTACTGCCGTGAATGTCTGTGTCGTTGGTTATCAACAGCCGTTTCATGCCTGGCACTGTCATGAAACCCCCCAACACGAAACGGCTGTGGAATGGGTTGACCATTGGGTATGTTCTTCAGGAAGTGGCTTGGAAACACCAGAAGAGAGATCTTGTGTCGGTTAACATTGATAGCGTGTTATTTATTTTGTTGTGGGGACCAATTGTTTTTGCTGTGAATCGGGGAAAACCACCCTCGTTTTAAAAGTAAAGTATTTTTTGAAATATGTCTAATGTAAACAGTTAGTGACCTCTGTGCCGTTGACCTGTTATATACCAGTTATAAGTTTTATTCTTGTGAGATGTCATTGTACAAACAAAAAATTACGAATCATGTTTAAACACGTGCCGTATCAAATAATTGTCATAAAAGAGAGAAAATAGTATTACGAAGTATTACATATATACTTGTTTCTTCCGTTTTTAGTGGTTATAAATATATGCTGATATTTTTTCGGTGTGTCTGCCTGTATGTGCTGTAAAATTTCTGTGCCCAAGGGTTCACAATTTTTGTCTAATTTTTTCTTCATTTTCCCATCCTGGGGTGTGAAGGTGGTGTACGATACGAAACAGTGATTTGCTCATGTGTATGTAATGTATAAATGGACATGATCCAGTGCTAAACTCTATCTTCAGTCCAACCTGTGAAGGTGGCCAGTGGAAGTTTGAGGCTAGTTGACCGTTGTGGCCCGTGCTTTGTCCAAAGAATTCAAGTGAAACTCATTTGCCATCGTTTCCAACAGGCTACCGTGAGATTTTTGTTGACCAGTAGACGTTCATTTGTGCAGTTGGCCACTCGGTTGGTAACCTGACCATTTCATGTTTCCCATTAGCAGACCATCAAGGCTCATGACCACTGCAGACAAGACTCTGATGTCCAGATCTTCCAGCCCTCATTACACTGTCAGCCAGTGGACCATGACCGGTCACATGACTCAGGGCCACTTTGGCCATCAGTTGGCATTGGCCACTAATCTACCAGGGCTCATTCAAAAGGCCACCAGACCCAGGTTGGACTTTAAAACCTTACTGTACAGATATCTCCATCTATATTTTTTCCTCTATCAAAATGCTGTGATGTCACCCCGATGTACAAATTCCGGGGTAGGCTGTTTTTTCTCTTCGAACTATTTTTCTGATATTTTGAACAGATTAAGAAGACTGTAAATAAGGTTGTACATACGTCTTATGAAGGCCGTACTTTTGATAAGAGAACTTTGTGCTGCTGGAAGAAAACAAAGCTTTACCGAAAAAACAAAAGTACTAAAATTTTTGACACAAAAACTGCGAGCAGCAGGTTCCATCCGAAAAGTTTGGCCAGATGTGGGCTCCGACGGAAAAAAAAATATTTGCATCTCTTAAAAGTGAGCAAGCTAAAGTTGGTTTTGGTTGGTGCTCACGGTGTTTTGCATGAGCTGAGTGTTTTTCTGCTGTCTGCCGATGTACAATATTTCCAAAGCAACTGCTGGTGTAAAAAGGCACCGTATCTGTAATATAGGGCTGACCTTGTCGAAACACTGAGGACGGTTGATCAGTTGTCTTTTAAAGTGAGACTGGAAGAACAATCACAAAGTAGTCAGTGGAACTATGGAGATGAAGCAAGCTTATAGAGATGGATCAGAACCAGATTTGGAAAAAAAGTCTCTCGGGCACTCATGGAACTGAGGGGTGAATTTCGATTGGTACTCGACTTGAGAGGAAGGCCACTTAGAACTTGTAATGTTGTGGCAAGTACTGTGGCTGTAAATTCGGACGGGTCCTTTGACACCCGGGTCTCTTCGTGTTTGCCTGAAGTATGAACCGATTTCCAATCCCCCTCCCCCCCAGTCAGTCCATGGTTTGAGTAGGATTGGAACCAGGGCACCAGTGTCAGAGAATGAATGTGCCACCATGACAGTCTCACTGAAGAGCAAACCAGAAATTCGCACCCAGTGTGAGATGAGAAACCATGTGAGTTGACCATGCACAAACAGATTAACCGAGGCATTCAAAATGCAAGTGTACAACGGGAGACATATGATGTCAACATTGTCAAACTTCACAGTCTGTCATAGTGTTCAAATTTACTCGCACTCTGTGACCGAAAGGTAAATTGTTTTGGTTGAATTACTGATGCTTCTCAAACTTTGATTATTTTTCTTCAGTCTTGGTTTGTTCCTCAAGGGAACTTCTTATTTCCTTCTTGAAGCAAGTGTTCTATTTTCCTTCATTGTAAAATTTATCCCCTAAGAAACGGTGTATAATGGTTTACGTTATGAAGAGGTACATCAAGACGGCATTATGGAAAAAACAGGGTCATCAATCAGCTGCAGGAAATCTTTCCATTTGACAAGTCTGTCAGGTTTTCTTCACTAGTTTTATTGTTTGCTTCAGGAAAAAAAAAGACAATTTACTGATTGTGTTTGAAGCAAAATAGAGGTTGATTTCAAATTTGACAGTTTTTATGACCTGCTGTTGTTATAAATGCGTTAAAAGGTCTTTGGGTTTCACAAACTGACATGCAAGCAAGTGGCGGAAGATTTGAGGAAATGCCTGTGATGAAGGTTTGACACAATGACCCATCTGCGCAGAATAATTTCCGTGAAAACCCTGAACCTGTGGAATTCAGGCTGCATCCGCAAGCACCTGGCCACAGGTTAGAAATTATGCACGTGCCCATGGGAAATCCAGGAAGCCATTGGCTGAAGGCCTCTATAAATGTGTGTATTATTGGCAGTCCTAGCCACGCAATATGACCTTCGAATGGCATCCAGGGAAGGAAAACAAAATGACAGAGTGCAAACACACAGTACTGATATCAGTTGGTGAAAACCAAAGTAACGCATTACCGTGTGATGTGCTCACACACAGGGCTACTAGTAACAATCACCACAGGAAGACATATCAGGTCATTTACATAAGAGACAAATTCATTTCCAAATCTTATCTGTAATTGTTTTTGTTTTCATCTCCAAACCGACATGTAACCAAGCCGTTGCTTTTTCTCTGAACGTCTAATACAAACCAAACACCAACCCAGAAGTTGTTACATCCTCTAATAATGACAAAGGTTACCTCTGAAGTGGTGTTAGAAACAAAAAAAATGGAACTACGTGGACTTGGCAAGAACCTGACAATATACCGTACATGGTTTGTGCTATGCATTCAGTGGTATAAACGGCAGGTTCTTCCATTGTGTGGGTTTTTTTTGCCCAAAAAGCCACATACAGATGAGACTTTTTGACAGACATGCTTGAGCAGGTACAAGAAATTTTCCTGCGAGACGGGCCGTGTCCGTATCACTTGGCTACGCCAGAATTCACACACGACTCGATGCGAACTGGCCGCAGCCACTGCCAGACTCGTGCTTCATTTCCAGCCACAGCCAAGTGATGCGGACTTGGCCATAGATTCCATTCATATCCAGTTCTTATTTTGATTTGGGGTGGGGTGGGAGGAGTCCTGATGAATATTGTGAAGGGGGCCGAGAGGACTGGTTGTGAATGGAGACCATTATTTCTACTGGAAAGCCGTGTCTCCGTATTCCTTCGCTATTGCAGATGGATTCACGGAGGATTTTGCGTTTTTTTCCCTCCAACAGCCCCGTATGAATATTAAACACCTTTCACATAAACATTACCGTCAACCAAAAAAAATCTAACGAAATAGCTAATTGCTGTGTTTATGTACAGAAATTTATTGTAGATACAAAGGCTCTTCTATAATGTGAAACGGAAAAAAAAAAAATTGCCCATAGAGTATGTTGAATAATACATTGCATCATAATGTAAGCATTAATGTTTACTCTTGATTGAAATTGTAGGTATAACAATTTTTTCTTGTGAGGTGTGCGTGAGTGTGTGTATGTATATGCATTGGTTGTTTTGACATGTTCCTGTTCTTTGAGCTCTGGAGACGGGGGCCCGCTTTTATGTCAATGTACTCGTGTCAAGAAATGTACGATGTTGGCAGCTATTTTGTACATCACTTACTGTGGCTGAAAATGTACAAATTAAAACCATTGGGGGAAAAAAAATGGACACCAAAAGCATTTGGGCTTGTATCACGCCGTGCAGTTTATTCACAGAAGTGATTCTGTTGTGGTTCTGTTGTGATCATTCTAACTGTGAACTTTGGTTACTTGGAAAGGCTGTGAGGGTTTTTCTCAGACTGGGTGCTGGACCCCGTATCGACGGCTTTGGGGGTTCGAATCCCGGCTGCTGGGGAGGGGTAACTTGTGCATTATATTGCCCGTTTGTATCACACAGCCAAGAGTTAAACGAGTTTCTCAGACATGAAAACCACAGTGACGTTAACTTCAAATGTACAACCGAGTGTGGAACATCAAACCTTGAACAAAATTAAAGACACACAAGACCTTTTCTGTTATTTTTAATTACATAACATGACATAACCACTTCATGTACAATGTACACACTTGCTTTGAAACAAAGAAAATCTTTCGTACGGAGAACATCCCCCCTTTAAAAATTCTTACCACTTACACACTTGCTCCACATGTTTTTTCCTTCAGACAGATTGTGGGATAATGAATCAGGTGTTGAGAAGATGAATGGATTTCCAGTGAGAACTTGATATGCAACACGTGTAGCTCTTGCAACGATTTCAAATGCCAGTTGGAAAACGGGAGTTTAATTTTGGAATAACGCTCAATTTCAAAATACTACTTGGCACCTCGCTTTGCTGACAAACTGTTCAAATTAATTCTGAATTCATCTTTAATGTAGTTCTTCCATTTTTGGTTCTTTGAATTAACATTCAGGATTTTTGACTTGGGAATTCAACTAAAATTGACTCCAGTTGGGTCAAATCCCCAACTGCACAGGATTATGATTTTCTTAAACCTGATCTGACGAAGGCCCAAAAATGGTTGTCATGGTAACCACTGCATTTCGGTCTGGCACAAAAATTTAACCAGCTGGTTAAAAGTATGTTTTCATGGGTCAGGTAAGTCATTTTTGCTCATCCAAAGTCAAACAATTTTTTAGACAGACAAAAAGAGACAAAAGTTCACAATATCTAGCAACAGGAGAAAAGAAGTCAACATTTCTGTGTGTACATTTAGTGTGGTAAATGACTGCCGTATGTACAGTTTAGTGAGTCAAAAGGTCACATGGAAGGTCAAAGTTTGAGGTCTAATTCGCATGTTTAATAGCGACAGGGTCAAATTGTTCCTGCTGTTTGCAGCGGATCTTGTCGTCCTCTGTAAAGCCATTTGTTTCCTGTGCATAGTGAGTCTTCTGCGTCTGGTTAGAGTCGGAAAAAATCCACTCCAGCAGAGTAGAAACACAGGTCTTGGCACACGACTTAGGTTTCATAAGGTTGTTGTCATCAATGGCAAATTTATGTGTCTTTCTTGCTGTCTGCATGTCAGAAATACCACCTCCTCGTCCCATCCTTCTTGTCTCGTGGCAGGTCGGGTCAAAGGTCAAAGACGGAAGTTAGAGTTTGGTTGTATGTAGGGATTTCGTCATCAGGTCGTGACATTTCCAAATGGTGGAGTTGTCCTGCTGAACCAGCTTACACGTGGGGGTCGTCAGCATGACAGATCTGGTCAGTGGTCAAATCAAGCAAGGGTATCTCAGAGTCTCTTCTTGCGCCCGTTAGGTCGCGCTCCGTCCTCTGTCGCTGAGGTCCTTTGTTGGTGATGGCCATCGACTGGTTCGTGTCCACATAGCCGTAACGTTGTGCGTCTGTTTCGTACCAGCTCTGCTTTTGACGGACTTCTCTTTTCTGTCCAGGTCAGCGTCGTCGGGCTTTGTGGAGTGGTCATGGTTTACCAGTTCCTGCTATTTTGTATTGTCTTAAATCCTCCAGATGGGGTGGCGTTTTCCCACACAACCCGTCTTGTGTCATCCAGCACTTGCGTCTCTGTGTCTCCAGAGGTTATTTCAAGGTCAGGGGTCAAATGCGACTGTCTGATCACATGGGTCAATCACTGGCAGGTCAAAAGCGAAGGTCAAAGGTGAGGGGGGTCAGATGTTTTGGGGTTGGTTTGGTTGGTTTTGTTTATAAGAGTCAGTCTCCTTGTCTGTGAGGAAAGGAATAGAACAGGTCAGTACAAGGAGTCACAATGGAACAACAGTGGGCACCAGACATACACCAAAAATTTTAAAAATAAAATCCAAGTGCGTTATCCGTCTGTGAGAAATAAATTCCCAAACCTGTACACTGCTTTGTCTCATAGTCAAAGTATAAGCACTCCTTTTTATTTCTGTTCTGTCTCATATTGAAATAAGTCAGTGTTGGTAAATGTTTTCACTCATCTGACACGTTCACTTCTTACAGTGCTCTACACAAGGGTCCAACATGTTTGCGTCACAAAAAAGAAGTTACTTTTACAAATTAATTCAGAAACTTTGTCGGCTGCTGCGGAGAGAGGATCGTTATTGCACAATGTCACTTTGAAACGTTTACAATTTTATTGGCACAATACCTGAGCAAACACGTACCCCACGCCAGGGTTTCACGTGTAATTAGAGCAGGTACGTAAACTTACCTTACACCCGACGAGGTAGGTCTAGGTGGTGCGCGGTCGTTTGCGAGTGTCGTTGGTCTGCGGATCGGCCACCATGACTTTAAAGCGTATCCCAGAAACCTCCTGGCCATGGATCATATCAATAGCTTTGAGGGCACTGCTCTTGTCTGCGGGAAAAAAAAGGCGGCACAGGTCTCCATCTACGCCGTGTGGCTACGTTTTTTACATGAACATTGTAATAACTGAATACTGTGACTAGTCTGGAGACGGACTCCTCTTTCCATGAGCTCATGCTGGCAGTCAGGTCAGCTGCTAGACTTTTTGTTCAACAAAGCTGGCTTTAGGCTGTAGGTAGTATTGGCATGATGGTCGGGGGTAATAAGTTTGCCAACAAGCCTTAAACAGTGACTGGAAAAAAAAAACAAGCTGAAAAAAAACGCCCCTGCAATCCGTTCTCACCGGCGTACTTGGCATAGCCAAAGTTACGGTTGTTGAGCATGTAGCACTCAATCAGGTTGCCAAAGCGACAGAAGATGTCTGTGAGGACTGCAGGAGGTGGGGCCACGGGATTGCAAACGATGAACAGCCTCTCCATGCACTCGCTGAAGACGGAACCAAAAATTTAAATGATACCAAGATATTTTGGCAAGAAAGTAATTAGTCTACATTATGTATCAGCCGATAAAATAACTAACTCAATCATAAATTCCAGTCCAGATGTTCAGTGCTGTTGTTCTATTCAACTGCCAAGACCAAATTTCTCCAAATTGGGAAAAAAAAGTGGCTGAAAAACTTGATTTTGAATATTGATGAGCATTCTTACGAGTCGATGTGGACCAGCGGCTGTTGGGCAGGAAGTCGTAGCATGGTGGGATCCATGATGTAACTGGGGAGCTGAGCTTGCCCCTGCTGTAATTGAGCTCGCCTGAAACAGGTGAGACAAGATTGAAATTATCTCTGAAAATGACTTCCAGGTTCTCATATTGGTACTTTTTTTCACGCTAATTTGTCTTTGATTTTGTTTTTCATGAACAGGAATGGATGTAGAACTTACACGGTGTCCGTTGGCGATCCCGGCTCCTCAACAAACTTCACCGACAGCGGACAGCTGGGTGGGTACTCAAAACGGTCCAACTTTTGCTTGGCGTAAACCGCTGAGACAGCTGTGCTGTAGCGCACATAAGCAATTCCTGTGCGTGAAACAAGAAGTATGTCATCTTCGTTTCATCTTAAAACACTTTTTTCAGGGCTTTTAAACAGTCATGATTTTGAGACTGTATTTGAAGACTTTTTTTTTTACCCTTGACTCCAAAATCACCCCGCTCCTGTCTCAGGTCACAGTATTCAAGTCCAGGCACCAGATCAAACAGCGCCCTCAGTTGATTCTCTGTAACGCTGCCATTGACGACCACGTACAGCTTGGGTGAAATTTGTGGATCTGTCACTAGTTCAAAAATGAAAGCAAAAACACGTGTTATTTGTTATGATCTAGATTAGATTCCTCGTTCTCTGCTCTGCCCCTGCCCACTCCCAATTTTCATGCCCCGCCCACATCTATCCTTACCTGCAGCTGGGTGGTGGTATGAGTTGGGCTCATAGGTGTGGAACCCCCCGCCGACGGGCGAGGCAAAGCTGGACCGGGGATCAAAGGCAGAGTCAGGCCGGAAACCCCCTCCGGCAAAAGTCGATTCGTGTATCTGTGTCGGCATGGGCTCGTCACGGTTCCGGTGACCTTTTGGCTCGGCCAGAATGGCCTTGAAACCTGGCCAAAAAATGGAACAAAAAAAATGTACAACGATATACTCCTCTATTTGAAGTCTTTAAATAACTCAAACGTCAAGTCTAACAACTTTCCATCCTGTTTGAAAGATTCACAGGGGACAAACCTCGGTCAGAGCTTTCAATAGCAACAGCAGCGCTGGAAACCTTGCGGAACTTGACATAGGCAAACCCTTTGTTCTCCCCAGAGCGCCTGTCCTTGAGTAGGTTGATGTGGTCAATCTCTCCGTAAACTGTGGAATAACAATATCAGATACAACTTATACCTCAGACCATTATCTGACCGTTTGACTATAACTCTCCCATTTTTGGGGCGAGGCATTTTCCCGAATTCTCCTAAAATCCTCCAATTTCCAGGAAAGCAACTGCACATTCTTTGTACTTAGACTTTCAAGGGGCATCAAGCCCCGTGTAAAGTAACGGTGGCTGAGCTCGACCTTCCTCAACCCTGCAAAATCCTCCTTAAACCTTTATTATTCAGAAAACCAGATTATTCAGAATCTGGGGGTGTTAGAGCCAGATACAGATATCGGAAGGAAATATTTCTAATTTCTTTTTTAACCTTGGAATTTCTCTCGGACGTCGTCCTCTGTGTAGCTCTTGGGGACCATGATGAAGATACGCATCAGTTCCTTTTGTCCGTCAATGTCTTGCTTGCTTCCTGAGCGCCGTGAGTTTGCAATCAAGACCTAGACAATTAAGAAAAAAATTGCTAAGCCAAAAAAGAGCTAAGTACATTTCTCTTCTGGGCAAGCACTCAACTAATAACTGAATCAGAATTTCAAATGTGATCCTACAACAATATAGAGTACCAAAGTGACTATGTCACATTCACGATAATGTGTAAAAGGCGTTATCGTGAAAACTAGCGGGTGAACCAACACCCATGTGTACTCTTTTTCCTGTGCACTACACTTCCTGGTTCAAAACGACGTCACACTTCTGTTGTCAATTTGTTTCTAGAGCTAATGTTGTCTTTAAGTACAGAGTTGCTTAAATTTTTCTTAGTAAGCACGAGGTGCCTTCCAAAATGTGATGGCTATTCAATATATTGACTATTGACTGGTATATGACTATTGACTGATAAATAGTCACATGACTATCGACTGATATGAGAGTCATATATGACTATTGACTGGTTCTCTGTGACTTTCTGCTCAGCATAACAACTTCCTTAGTCATCTTCTAGGTGTAATTATCAGATGAGAGAAACTGACCGCTTGCCAAGTTGAGATTTAATAGTTACCTTGAGGGGCTTGGGGTCGGACCCGATACATTTGTTGTCTGTTTCCTCCATGGCGATGGCGGCCTCGGACGCCTTGGTGTACTTAATGTAGGCCACACCCTTACTCTCATTGGTAGATCTGTTCTTGACCAGCCAGACATCGTCAATGGTGCCAAAACGTTCAAAGTGCTCCTTAAGCTCGGCCTCTGTGTGGTTCCTCCCACAGACGATGAAGAGTCTGAAATTTCAAGACATTCACAGCAAACTGAACCACACAAATTCACAAATCAACTACGAACCAGGCAACAGGTGCAAATGAATGGGTAGGCCTCGGCCTATTACAATGTGTTGGTCCTGCATGTTGGTGTAGTGGTGCAGGTCGTGGATTTTGTTCAGAGAATTGATGATTTTAAAAAATCTTGCACATTTACCAATGAATTTTATTTCCTTTTTTTTAAGAAATAAAATCTTGTTAATGTTGTTAAAATGTCCATTAAACTAAGCCTAGGCCTATAATAAAGAGGGTTTTTTTGGGGGGGTGTTCTGGAGGGAGGCAGGCAGCAACTTTCTTTTTTTTTTTTTCAATCATAAAACTTTAAAAACTTAAAGCTTAATTCCACTCTCAAATGTAAGCAACAAGTACATTAATAAACCGGGGGAAACAGGCATAAAAGCTTTAGCTAGTCCAACCCGTGGCCTTAGGCCTATGCCTACCTGCTGTTTGGAGGCTTGTCCATATCGACTCGGCCGGACCCAGACCTTTCACCGCGGTCCCGATCACGCCCGGCAAACCCGAACCTTCCCCCACGATCGCGGTCATCGTCCCGATCCCCAGCTGGACCGGACTGGTCTGACCAGCCTCCGCCGTAGTACGACTCGCTTCGTGACGACATGCTCTCGTCGACTTCAACAAAATCACAGAAAATTAGTTGTATTTCGTTCTTTGATTGCAAGAAAATTTTCCTCCTCGAATGTTTCCACAGAAAAATACAATGGAGACCTGTTGGGCTACAGAGTTCGCCCAAAAAATTCACAAAACATCAAAGAATAAAAAAATCGGCAGCGCCATAATGTTATCTTTTACAGGAATAATGAATAGCTTAATTTCACGCCCAAAAAGGCGCGTACTTATTCTGCCACGATAAACAAAAGAGGGCGCGCTTCAATATATATACATGTAATTGGTGAAATTTTCCAAGATCGGAAGATGTCCCACACGTGTGCAGCAGAAAATGACAAGAGGCCGCAGTTTGGCAACAGATTTCTCACTGATGCCGACAAAGTCTTTCAACACAATGCTTGGTAAGATCCGCCTTCAAATCTTCGCTGACCCCATTTCCACGTAATCACTCTTACAGCATTCTCAAACATGACATGTCAAGTCTGTCATTTAGTGTCAATTATGACGTAAGTTAGTGTCCTCATTTTTTTCAAATGACATTGCAGTTGCATCAAATTACAGTGTCTATCGCCACCTGACATACCTGATCGCAGTCGTTAGTCTTGTTTATCTAATTGCAAGGAAATAATTTTTCCCAGCAGTTACCTATTATCCATCTTAAAGCAGTAACGTTGTTACGCCCCAACTATAGCATAAGTCCCAACCAAGTTTCAACCATGGAGGTAGAATCAAGTTAGCATTTATTGTCAAGATGTTGTCATCAGTTGTCATGTAAATTTACACTTGCCACACATCATGTATAGGCCCTAATGTGGTCTTGTGTGTCCCTGTATGCAGTGTATATAACCATGGGGGTAGGAATTCCTCCATGATATAACTTACCTTGCACCACAACACCAACACGTTATAATAATTGTTATAGGCCTGCATGTAATTGACTTCGAATATATTTTCAAAGTTTTTTCCAACAGAAATGCGCACAAATTAGGTAGTCATCCAGTGCTCATGAATCGGATTTCTAAATTGCGCCAGCTGCTGAATTTTCACTGCAGCATGACTTGGATTCAAAGGGGTTCACTGGTTCCCTTCCCCTGCAGACGCTCAGACAGCGTGTCAGTGCACCACAAACTTTGGTAAGTCTGAGCATTACTGCAGTGGCTGGGAACCAGTTGCTATCTATATAAAGCTATTTGCTGGTAAGCCAGAATTCAGTCCCAAAGTGCATGTAGCGCACATGTGGTTGTTGGTCTTTTGTTTTCTTTTTACTTAAAAACAATGGTGCAATACGCAAGGCGCTCCTTAATTCATGTTTGTTTGATCTTCTTTACAATCAGAGTTCCATTTCATTTCTAGTTGTGTAGCTCAGCCATTTAGTCTCTAACAAGTGTGTGTGGTCAAAGTTTTCCCTTGCAATGTTAATATGGTCGTGTTATGTTTCAAGCAGTTTATATTTGTTTTGTTTTAAGGGATAATGTCATTTGGAGTGAAGCCCAGATGCGTGAAGCGCAGAAGAAAGTGGAAGTCAATTCTAGCGAGTATATGAGCCCAGATATTGGAGGTACATGGACTAAATATCCTCTAACCAGACTAACCGTTACAAAGAACTAAGTTCCTCAACCCTCGTAATGGTATATTATCAAAATGGTTGCTTACAGACATTTCTCAGAGAACTGTCCTTTTCTGTGACAAAAGCCAAAACTTAATGCCTGTATATTAGGACTTGTAAGCAAAAATATTAACAAAAGTCAATATCAACATGATATTTTTCAATTGCCTCTATATTTGACACCTCTAGAAAAATTAGAAAGGGAGGCTGGCAGTCAGTGGGATGGGTTCTACTCTCAACATCAGAATCGTTTCTTCAAAGATCGCCACTGGCTGTTCACTGAGTTCCCAGAGCTTGCCACGTCTTCACCTTCCTCAAGACCCACTCAGCAGGACAGCTCAGTAGCCACGAAAGAACGAGTCGGCCCCGGAACTGAACTGGACCTGCCAAATTTGCCCACAGATTTCCAACAAACTGAGCACTTGGAAAGCAAGGAAAACCTGTCAACGTTAATGCCTGCAAGTGAACCCAGTAACGTCACTGCAACACTTGATGGTCAGCCGGACGGGGGTGATGTTGAAGAAGATTTACCAGGCTTACCACGCAGCGACCGGGTTTCCATCAGCACTGCTGAGAAATCATCAGCACAAGATCGCGGAGACCAAGCCGGAGGCTCAAATCCCATCAAAGACATTGCGGAAGAGAGAACTAGCAGTGGTTTGACTAAGCCACAAGACCAACTACTTGAGGAAAAGTTTCCAGGTTGGGATTCAGAGACCAGGATTCTTGAAGTTGGTTGTGGAGTCGGAAATACAATTTTTCCGGTACTTCAGACCAATGTGTGAGTACCCTGTGCTTGTGTGTAGTTCAGTTCGACCATGTGCATCAGTTCGTATTGGCTAACATGTGTTGGAAAACGCAGTAATTTTTCTGGGAAAATGCAACTAACCTTTTTTTTTTGTTTCCCCTTTCTTCGACAGTGATCCAGGTTTGTTTGTTTACGGCTGTGACTTCTCCAGTGTGGCTATCGATATCGTGAAGGTAAAATTTAAGAAAAAAGCCTTTTACCGGGAGATTTTATAAAAATCATCATTTCATGAAAATGTGTTCAGACTTAAAGTAATAAGATGAAACAGTTTGGAGAGGAAAAAATTTGAAGATTAAAATAAAAAAAATTCAATGATGTTTCTATCAGTTATTAGAACTGATTTAACCCTAACACTCCTCAGTCCTCCAACAGGTGAAGGATTGAGGACGGTTAGGGTTAAAGAAAATATCTCTTTGAACATTTAAACATTCCAAAATAACAGCAGCAACACTATGTCTGTTTTCCTAGCAACACCACGAATACAATCCACAACGCTGCCATGCCTTTGTCTATGACATCACCGATGACAGCGCTGCCATGCCCTTTCCACAGCGAAGTTTAGATATCATTATTCTCATTTTTGTGCTGTCTGCCATCCACCCAGAAAAGTAAGAGCTGCATCTTTTGGAGGGGTGACATCTTGTGGGGGTTCCCCGGCTTGAGGGAGGCCATTTCAAAATAAGAACTTACATAAGCTTGTAGAACCTGCTAAGTGTCAGTTGATCGATACATTGCCCTTTTGAAAATTATTTAGAAGGATTGGTTTTGGAGAAGAAGAAATCGAAAACTTGCTCTAAAATTCTATTTTCAGAATGCAGGAGTCAGTGAGTAGACTCGCCAGGTACCTCAAGCCAGGAGGGCTTGTCTTGCTGAGAGACTACGGGCGGTACGACATGGCCCAGTTACGCTTCAAGAAAGGTTTGTAAATAAACGAGATTTATTATTTATTTATTATTTGTTCTTGCGTTGCTTTTATAAAATCGTTCCTCCAAACTCGACTCAAATTTACAACTTTGGAAGTTTTGTGCAAACATGGTTGTTATGCTGCCATTTCTGACATTCCCTCCCAATCATCCTCAGCCTTCTGTTCCGTTTAACCCCCTAGCTGAAGCTAATGACTTCTTTACATGCAGGGCGATGCTTGTCAGACCACTTCTATGCCAGGGGTGACGGCACCCTTGTATATTTCTTCACACAAGGTGAGTACATGTAGGCGCAGACTTCTCAAAGATCCCGTTCTGTAAAGCCAGCGATGTTCCTGTTCGATACTGTCCTGTGTGCAGTTTCTGCAGAGCTAATATTAGCAATGTCTTGATGTTGCCAGCGGAATTCAGTCCCCCAGTCGTCACTGACAACTTTATCAAGAGCTATCTTTGGCATCATTTCAAAATTGCTATCGGTTGACTATAGGACGGGGCCATCCGACCGATAACAGTGACTTGTGTCGAGTGAATAACGGAGGGGGTTTTGCTCCACTGAAACCACACAGGCTTGGGAGTAATGCAATAAAAAGGCATTTATCAGTTAGAATTGGCCACTTGAGATAGCCAACCAATAAAAAATGTATCGGTCGGACCGTTCTGTCCAACACCTACCCGACAGGAATTTTGAAATGGTGCCTTATCTTTCCTAATAACGCCACTGTTAGGCATTTACAAAAGCCTGTTCAGCTGAGAATTGCTGCTATCACCACGCTCAGAATCAGCTTGTCTTTATCCCGTCTGAATCAGACGAGTTACGGACTCTTTTCACCGGAGCCGGTCTGGTGGAGGAGCAGAACATCGTGGACCACCGACTGCAAGTGAATCGCGGGCGTCAGCTGACAATGTACCGAGTCTGGATGCAGTGCAAGTACAGAAAGCCGACGCAGGCCGACAGACAGACAGACAGCCGGGACAAGGGAACAGAATGAGTCATCTGGAAATACGTGGCAGTTGTTTGGAAAGTTGTGCCACTTCAGAACATTGATGCAACTGTGGACTTAATGTGCTAAACAAGAGAGGGCACTTTTTGTGACCGAGCAACAACATTCCATGGGGTTAACACATGACAGTTCTTGCTTAACCAAAACTTTACGCAATGCTACACTATACACACACACTACTCTTTTCGGTTTGTCGCATACACAGTGGGAATGGCCAACTCTGCTGGCATTGTTGATATTTTAATGACAGTACGTTGACACCATCGATTCCTTTTTAAATGTCTTCAGTGCCATTTTACAATCACCAATTATATCATGCAGACGGCATTTTTAGTTAATCGATGTATTTTACAAAATCAAGTTTTATGGGGAATTAAAAAAAGCATGCAGGCAAGACAAATACAACTGCAGAACTACAATCATTTATCATTTAATTTATCATCATTTATCAATCAGTGTACATTGTTAAAGAATTTCAAAATAAGAGCAGTCCAACAGCCCCGTACATATCAACATAACTGTGGAGGCAAGTCCTAACATGCAGAAATTAAAATAACAATGCATTACACGATTTTGTTTATCACCATAAACATTTTTAAAAGAACAGCGGGGCAACATTAGATGCAGAATGAACAAAAATCATCAAGGGATTTGGAGGGGCACGAAGTACTTATTGTTTTGAGTAGCACTGCCTCTCAGGAAACAGATATATGCAAAAGTACAGCTGTACAGATATCTTGCAGAATGGACATTTTCTGTAAAATTGTTGGTGTCGCTTCCTGGAAAAGCGACGAGTTTGGTTCATACCAGCACCTTGGGAAGTTATCAAGTTCTCTCTACAAGTTCCTTTAGGATTTTCAGCATGCTTTTTACTTGTAAAGAGATGCATGTCACTAGACGTGTCTTGATACAATGGCACACTGGCTGAATGGCTAGACCCATGGCACAATACATCATCAATCTTCTAAGTCAACAATAAAATGATTTGTGCTTTTTTGTTACACATAAATGGAAATTACGGTGGGTAGTTGCTATACAAAAATTGGATCCCACGGATTTCTGTAAATATCTTCCTGTACATGAATAACGTTTACAGAGATCAGTGGTAGTTTAGTACAACACTTGTCACTGCTAGGGGGATGAAGACAGGCGTTGGGGTCAGTATTAGTGACAATCTAGAACAATCTTCCCCAATAAACTAGAGTTTGTAAACTAGATAGGTTTGCGGTAGCACCGTGGATGTATTTCTTTTTTGAGTATGTGGGGTTCTGAAAAGAACTGGTGGTACTCAACGTTTCGGACAGTGTGCTCTGTCCGTCGCCAGGAGACTGCAGAGGGTTCAGTGATCAGGCAGCTTCTATGGTGTGTAGAGGGCAGTGAGGTGTAGAGAGGATGCCAATTCTGGATCCAAGTGAGAGAAAGCATACTGTCCAAAATGTTGAGTACCACCGGTTCTTTTCAGAACACCACATACTCAAAGAAAGAGATATATCCATATTGCTACCACAAACTTATCTAGTTTACTTGCTACCTCCACCACGAAAAGCGTCCTAATCTCGACAAACTGGAGTTTACAACAGCATTAACATGAAACAGGCCTGTACATAATGCCTTCCCAAACCCCATTCTGTTCTGTTTCTGCTTCACAGCTCCTTGACTGCTCACACATCTTTCCCAAGCTGGCTATAGGACTGTGATTTGCCTTGTCTTAAAACATCTTTTAACGAGGAATGATGCCATTGTCAAGAAACACAGATGAACACGCCTCTCCGTTTTGCATTCTTGGGTTTTATGGTAACTACATTTTTTATTCATAAAAATTTACTGATATGCAAGTCATGTTTGCCAAGTAAAGAATTACTTTCATCTGTGTTGGCCATATAAATAATTTTGTCCATTTTTAACACCAGAAATTTCACTGGACAGAGCTTGAATTTCATCAATAGGAATTTACCACTTTGTGAAAAAATTCATTTGTAATGAGTCATTCATTTCTACATTTATTTCCCCCAAGAGTGTTTTATTTTGTAACCCATTTTGACAGAGTTGCTGACAGCAGGTGACTTTCAATTCTTGGAAGCAAAATCTGCAGGGAACTAGTGTTGTGGCATACACAATACATTGCATTTTTGCTTGTTAGTAACCAGCTTTGCTGAGCAAATACATGCAAGTTATTTGCTTAGCAGTTTGCTGTACTTAGCAGGTCTGTGAAATCAGCTCCAGATGGACTGCTCAGCCACTGAGGTAACTGATGATGGCTGTATTGACGTCCATGTTTGCCTTCTGGATGAATTCCCTGGCCTCTGTGATATCGTCGCACGCTGTCACTTCCATGAACTGCACAATGAGAACGTCCATGACTTCTCCAACTCCATCATCCTCCTGTCCCTTCCACTGAGGTGACAACGAGTTGTCCGTCGTCTTCTGGGACCTCCCCTCCTTTCCGGACCTCCTCTGTCGCTCCCTTTCCTGTTCCTCGGCCTTGCGGTCCGCCCGGACTTTCTCCCTGACCTTGCCGATCAGTTTCTGTTGCTCTGCATACTCCCGCGGGGTCCAGGCCGGGGCATCTCTCTCATGGACCCAGCGTGGCGTCTTGCGCTCTGAGGTGGTGGAGGCGCCTTGGGTCTGTTTTGTCTTGCCCTCCATCTCTTTCTCCTTGAGCCGTGCCTTCTGCACCCGCTCCCGCACCTCCAAGACCGTGGGGAGGAACTCGGGGGCGATGGTCTCCTTCTTGTACCTCCGGGGCTCCTCTTCCAACGGGTTCACTGTGATAATCGGCTCACTGGATTTCAAAAGTTGTGTGGGCCTCTGCAGGGCAGGTTGCTTCTGTTCGCGCTCGGCATCGGTGGTGTCTGTCCCTCCCACTGACAATTCTGCTGAGACTTCCTCATCCTGTAATTGGTTTATGGTGATGCTGTGGGGTTCCTCTCTGGCCCACTCCTTCCGTCCTGCATCCCTTGGTCCCTTTTGCCTCTCAAACTCCAGGAACCTCTCCAGCTGCTCCTTCTCTCGTCTCTCCCGTGCTCTGATGGCATCCAGGATCTCCCTTTGATGCAGCTGCTCGTACACATCTCCATCCTCCCTCAGCTCCAGATGGCTGTCTGCCTTCCGTCCTTCTCCCTCCAGCTCGGGATGGCTGTCTTCCGTAACCTCTTCTGCCCGAGGCCTCTCCGACGCCTCAGCTCTCAGTTCCAAGCTGACATCATCATCTTCCGCCTTCTTTTCTGTCTGCCTTGCGACAGTCCCTTTCGGCAGTCCCAGTGCACCGGCAGCAAGTTCAGCACTGATTTCCCCATCGTCGGTTCCTTTGGACAGTCCCTTATTGGAATGTGTACTCAACACTCCCGCGGCAAGTTCAGCGTTCACCTCCTCCTGGTCCAAGCCTCCGTACAAAACCATATTGGCTCCACCCCCGTGATTCGTCAGTGGGGTGACTGCAGGCAGAGTCACAGAACCTTGGCTGGAAGACGTCATCGGCATGAAGCAGGAGATGACATACTCTGGCATTACCCGCTCACTCTTGTACAAAATGAATTCATCGTACTCCTTGACGTGACCCTACAAGAAAATCAATGTTTATATAATGGCGTGTTCCAAATACGTTGGGTTTTTATATCTTTCCTGAAACTAAAAGTCTTATTTCTCTACTGTTGTAGGTTTTGATTCTCAATCATCATTACAGAATGAATACAAAAATTTGTCAACCCCAGCAGTCTCGAAACAAAGTCTTTTAAACTGAGCAGTACTTTCTGAGAATTTCATTGACAATTAGCAAAACCTTTCTAAAAGAATTTTAAAGCCACCTGAACACTGAAGTTTTCCGAAGAAAACTAATTCTCCAGCTAACTTTACTCCTCTCAACAAAAAAATTCAATTTGGAACTTAACCTGGATGGCGGTCCGACGCATTTCCCCCAAGGCATAAAGAAAAAAAGTTGCGCGTTACCTTGACTGAATCATAGTACTTTGGGCCCCCTGGCTCAGGATTTTCCACTTCTGGTTCTCTCTTGAGATCCTTGGCGTGCTGTCCATTAGGATAGACCTTGCAAAACAGAGAAAAAAGCCCCAAAAGTCAAGGGGCATCAAGAGAACACAATCTCTCCACAGACAGGGAAGATCAACACTAAAAGGCTTTTCTACTTTTTTGTTTTTGAAAAGGTGCATTTTTGGGGGTGAGAAATTCGAAACAATTTCGAACAATGTTGGACACTGTTTTGGTTTGTTCTGAGCTGGACAAAATCACCAGTGCAACCAACCTTCATGTTTCCCATCAAGGCTCGGCATTTGTAGATGGTGCAGGTCATCTGCGGTAAGGGCTGTCCACTGCCCTTGTCACCCTGGGTGTAGGACACACACTTCCTGGGGTCATTGCTGAAAGAAAAGAAAAGAAAAGAGAGAAAATACATAAACTTTGTCACAGGGGCTGAAATGTTCTGCCGGGGCGCTGGGGGAGCATGATGCAGCCACTGTGTGGGTGTTTTGGCTAGTGGCTGCAACTGAAGCCACATCCCATAGATGCCTGTGCTGCTGCTAGCCACAACCAGTCGATTTGGACACTGTCTCGGGAGGGAGAGCAGTGTTCCATTGGAGAAGCACATATACTTATGATATCGTCAGTCTAAGCATGGCAGGAGAAATTTGAAACATTTCATTTTGACGATAACCCCATCACGACCAAGACTGAACTAAAGAATGCCGCGCGTATCTTTCACTAAGCAGGATTCCAACCGGGGTGACACGGTCACCGGAAGTGGAGGACAGCAGCTGGGTTGTCTGGCAGTCTCTCTCCCTGTCTAGGGTTTCAGCTGGAAAACTTCAATTAATAGCCAAAGTTGTCGCCAAATGTTTGATTTTTATAGCCATCCTACAAATTTATGAGCCAACATTATGTATTTTTGGGGCCAAAGTTGTTTGAAAATAAAGACAAACCAAAAAAACATGTCATTCACTCTGATTCCTTCCAGTTTTTGTGAACTCCTTTTCAAATGGATCGATTATTGTAAACGACTAACATTTAGTAAAAACCACATCCTGTACATCTCAGATTTCAAACGTTTGTTGGAATACATCTCATATTTCATACATTTTGCTGGAAATTATTTCCAAGGTAAGCACATGTGAAGAATACATACACATACATGTATGAATGATTCAGATACATGTACCAAGAAGAATTCTGGGTTTTTCACCAGACCACAGTTTGAATGCCCGATGGAAATCAAACACACTTCTTGGAGGACCTTCCGCAGCAACCCTCATCAAGGCATCCAGTGTGTCAGGTTTGAGGTTGCACCAATTTATATAACGCAAGCATTATGCAAGCAATTATGCTGAGACTAAGCGTACTATTCATGTTCAAGCCTACCGTACGTGTTCGCCGGCCTACACTCAACCGGACTTGGGCCACGCTGAATTTTCTTTAGCTTGCCCGATCGGGCAGGCCATGCCATAAATTTGTTTTCCCGAATCGGATCAACACTTGCCCAAGATTTCTCGGAATCCCCAATTATTATGGTTATTTAACTTAAGCCTTCTGCATGCATGCAGTCTTTTATTTGGCCACAAAAATAGTTGTGCTTCCGATGACACAATCGGTTCGGTCAGTAGGTCAGAAAATTTTTCTGTTTTGGGGAGCAATTTTTTGTGCTGATTGAATGGCATGAATGGGAACGACGGCTTCCCAACACCTCGGCAACGTGCTCACCTGAAGTAGATGCCTCGTCCAAAGTACCCGATCCTGCTCAGTCGCTGGTCCAGCCCCTCATGACAGATCTGCTCCTTGTCGGCCGTCGTTCCATGGAATAGGTACACCTCATTTACCTCTATCAATACAAGATGGAACTGTGATTTAATGTGAGGTGGCAACCTGGTTCTCTGCTTTCGGTTTTTTACTTTGTCCCTCTGCCTTTGAGTTTCCCAGGTCCTCTTTAACACCATATCTTTTTTTCGTATTTCTCTCTTTCTATCTTAACCCTAACCCCCTAAGGTGTATGTAAAATTGTATTGAAATTGGAGGATTTGGGACTGTTAGGGTTAATCACTGTTCTTTCCCTACCCATGCAGCCACACCCACTTGTTTAGATCTTTGTGAGTCTTCTATCCACCTGTTTGTGGTCCTTTTCCCACCCCATCTTTCTTCTCTGTTCTCCCATTTCTGTCATCGTTTCCCTTCCTCCTATCCACTTCCCCCGTCCTCACAGCCACGCCCACCTGCTCGGTTCTTCAGCATCCGAGTCCGCTCAAACTGGAACTTGTCCCAGAGGTCGCGGTTCTCCACCCGCTCGATCTTCTTCACCGTCAGGTCGGCGGCGGTGAACTCGGCCAGGATGCTTTGGAACTCCCAGCTCTGCTTGTTGAGCATGACCAGGCAGAAGGGCACGTCGGGCGACAGCGTGCAGTCACTCCAGCTGCTGGGCAGCTGGTTCTTGGCTGGAGGGAACGGCTGCAGCCCAGGCATCGATAGCCCTGTCGGGGAGACCACGGTGGTCTCACTGAGAGCAGCCGCCTGACTTGTGGCCTGCTGCTCTTCAGGTGATGCACCACCTCCCACAGCACCATTCGGTTCTGGATTTGCCACGTGGCCAGTCCCTCCTTAATCAGGATAAACATGAAAAATTACATCATCAGACGGAACACCCTCCTGTGTTGCAACACACAAACAACTTTGAACTACACGTTTACATCTTAATATCACGACTGACGATGGATGCATGGATTACGAGCAAAGAAACTTGAAAAAGATTTGGTGTTTTGGGCAACACCTAATCCCAACCTCCAAGAGATGTGAAACTGTCGGAGCTGTGAAGATGTTGCAACAGTCGGGCCTGCTCGCTCTTCAGCTGGTCCAAACTGGATCCATTCCCATCATGCTGGACTAAACCAGTCTGATCCGGATCGGTTGACCCGTCTGTCTCCATTTCATCATCAGCTGCCTGATACAAATCCATTGTGTCTGTTGATACAAAATCCTGGTCAAGTCTCCTTAAACTACATGTGATCTGCAGACACATGAAAAAACTACAATTTCATTCATTTTGTACAAACCATGAATGAAACGGCTCATACCTACAGTTAAATAGCAATACCACAAACAACATCATTTTTTTTATACCAAAGCCTAAAGTTTGTAAGTTCCGAGGGACAATGCCTCAGTTCTGTTAGGAACTGCGTTTGTTCCACAGGGTATGCACAAAGGAGGCTTCCCTGTGGAACAAAAGAACTGCCCTGCAAAATGGCTACCGCGCAAAGCCTCTATTTTCCCTCAACACTTACCAATTTTGTTTCTGATTCTATTGCATTGATAATCTGCATCAAAACAAATGTTTATTGGCAATTTACACCCATTTTCATGTTCGTACATGTGACCTGAAATTGGATTTCGGAAAAAATGACGGACCTTTCAATTATTTACCAACTTTGTGGCAGAAAATCATTATCTCTGTGAGAATCAAACATCATACCAGCATCTCTTGTACACGTATATTCTGATATCAAAGTTATATTTCTTTTTCAATGCTTAGCCAAGCTTCATGACGTGACCAGCTTCTTGATTCATCCCATCCTTTTGATGGGTGGAGCTTATGCTACCAACCCCCCAGGGCACATGGTTATGAATGAAAGCCAGAAGAAAATGCAACTTTATCAACACTAAGCGTAGCAATTTGGGCTTTCAAACTCTATTTGTTTGTTTGTTTGTTTGTTTGTTTGTTTTTATTTGACTGCACCCATACAGATTACAAATGATCACACACAAACAACTGAATTAACTCAAACAAAATAAAAAGAACTACATAAAAAAACTAGAAATAGCTTATTTCCGTTATTATTGTTAATTTTGTTACGAAACAAAACATGCACACAGATGTAAGCTTAAGTAGATAATTATGCTTAAGATTTTTCCTCTGACAATTTTGAATACATCAAGCTATTTCTGATGTGTGCAATTTTTTGGGGAGTTAACTTTGACTTAGTGTCAGTCAACAATTTTGGAAGCCACTAAATATCACCCAACATTGCCTCCGGTATGAATTATTCCTTCACAGAACGGCAAATTTCAACTACTGGTAGGTGGGTAATTCCAGAAATTAGGGGGCCATTTTTTTTATGTCCCTGTCACATCTGACATATGATTTTGTAAGTTCAGAACACATTTTCTAATTTCCAAGAGTGACGAATTAATGCAAATTACCTGCCAAACAAATAGTAATAGTTTGAAATAAACTCCGGTGATATTTAACAAAGGCCAGATGTAACGGGGACCCAAAAATGTCACACTCAATTTCTGGACCCCTAATTTCTGGAATTACCCGGGTGTGAAACTTCACCTGGAAAAAAAGGTAATCACTTATTCTGGGGTTTTAAGAGGAAAAGAGAAGGAAGGATAAAACTATGATATAAATTTACAGTGAAAACACTCATCGTTGAATGCATTGATCAGTTCACTGTGTATCAACCTTTACCTGCCTTTGTTATTTAAATATGTATACTTATTAACAAAGTTTACATCACTCATAAAAAAGGAAACATTACAGAGGGTCATGCTATTCTCGACCAAGTTCATCTGGGCTTCTCAGTCATCCCACACTGAAAAGCTTCACGAGTAAACAGGGATATAGGCACGCGGCATCAAAATGTGGAATTCTTTTCATCATTTGTGGGTCATTGCCCAGACGTAAGTTGGCGGTGATGAGTGGCAAGGAATCGTTGCCAGGTAATCGTAACCCTATCCTCTCTAGAAACAATAGGGAGGGGGTGTTTTGCCAACTTAAATCGCAACAAAAGCGGGGATTCCCCAAATACGACGATGACCATGACAAGGCGCGGCAGGGAAACGAAATAACTACAAAGATAGAATATTGAAAATAATACAGCACATAAACATGAGTCAGTTTTCACCTGTATCACTGGAAATTCGTTTTTTTCAATATCATGCTTCTTGTTACCGCAATGAAATGTACACCACCACCATGAAGTTTATAAAATGCAGAATTCAGAATTCTCCCACTGGGCCTACCATCGCACCAGCAGCCTGCGCGCGATTTCCGTACTCTAATATGGGACGGAATTCTCAGTTGGGCCTTTTCGGCTGGTTCTCTCTCAGTCAGCGCCAGGTTTGTTTATCATGACATGGGGAGAGAGGGGACCAGACTGCTATTTTCGCACGTCAAATAGCACAGCACGACCGTTCCAACGTGTGATCTTTGAGCTTGCTTCGTGACGTGTCCATTCAACGCAAAAGATCCATACGGTTTAGCGGTACGGTTTAGCAGGCCTATTTTCACGGAGTTTACGTGTACAATTACAGTCTTATCACACGATGAAGTTTGTTTGGTAATTAAACATATGCTCACCACTGCCACTGCACTGTGAATGATAATTTTAAGGTGACTGAAGCTTGGTTTAGTTTTTTTTTTTCTTTTTCATCAATAGCCTTAGGCTGTGGTTCCTTTTTATATTATAGCCATGGGCTTAGCACTACTGTCGGTACTGAGTACTGGATTTGCATGTCAAACTTCCATGCTTATCACAAGAGGCATGAGAGGGCGCTCTTGTTTTATTTTGAATTGGTTTGGGCCTTTTTTTTTCTTGTTTTTTTTTAACATTCCCACTCCCAGTTACATGATTAAATTAGACACTGTAGTGCTGTTTCCGCCCCGCTTACCCCAGAACTGGGGGTCCGACGTCCGCCCCGCTCCCACACGGCAGACGTCGAACCCCAAAGTTCTGGGGGTACCGTATGCTGGTTCAGTGCTTGGTCATATTCGTCATGATGTACTGTAGGCCTACTACTATAACTTAAGAGGCTGATGGGCCACTGGCATACTAGAGTGATAATTTCTTTTCCACAAGGATTTGTCCTTTCATGTCAGTTTACATTAATCTTTTTTTTCCTTTAAAGGCGCGATCACCATGCCAAGAAAGCCAACTTAATTCCAGCTGACAAGGGGTGAAGCAACAAGCCACACCTTGCTGCTCTTAACCCCTCCCCCCCCTGACTGCCAACTGATCAGCTCAGCCATGGTTCAGTTTGCCATGATAACGCGTCTGAGGGACGGTCTCCCACTTTCAGCAACCACAGACCATGAGCCAAGCGAGGCCATCCTAACCAGCAAAAAGTATGCCAAGCTTATTTCAAAGAAAGCATCTCGTTTCCCTGACAGATGCTCCTTATTCACGGGCAGCCACTGGTTACAGTAAGTACGTCTAAAGTTTTGTCAAGCATCCTCACGGTTTCCAACTTTCCCATCCTTTGAAATTTTCACGTTCTCTTTTCTTCATCTTTTCCCAAGTAACTGTACTTACTTCAAGAAACACTCATCTATCGTTGTTTAGCCTTATTTCATCCCTTGGCGTCTGCTTCATCATGATGTGTGAGGAGAACTACCCAACCGTCTTGGCGTTCTGTTTCCTGGACGAGATCCAGCGAGCCTTCATCTCGACATACGACGGCAAGCGAGTTGAAAACTGCAGGCGGCCATACGCTCTCATTGAATTTGGTAAATGCAGACCCAATATGCCTCGTGAACAACACATCAATAAATCTTTTTGACAAAAGAAATTGCTATACAAAGAGCCATCCTGCACCCTGGTTACATGTTTGAAGAGATTTACACCTCCTTTATTAAAGTTTCAAGTCAGATTATAATTCCAGACAATTATTGATTAGAATGCCTTGCCTTGGTTTTGAAAGGGCATCATGTTCAAACTCCAGGACTTGAAGCACCTTTTTTGCAACCTCCATTATGAAGAGACAGAGTAATATTTGAACAATCGTTGTTCCATTATTTTCGTACTTTTTTTGTCGCAAATCCAGACACTGTGATTAAAAAGACGAAGCAACGTTTCAACAACACCAGGACCTTGCAAACCAAGATCAACCTGACCAACATGTCACAGGAGGTGAAACTCCGGCCTCCTCACCGCATCACCATCGAAGAGTTGGGCCCGATACCTGGCGATAGCTCAGCGCAGGAGAGGAACGGCGTCGCGGCCCGCGCGTATCGACCTCCTGCTGGTACATCCCATGCGACTTGAACCACTTTGGGGTCATCGCATTGATCACTCGTGAACCAAAACAGCAAACAGGATTAAAACTCATCTTGGTTATTCTTGTTGTTTTGCAGCCAATCGCGAGCAGTTTGTCCCCTTGAACTGGGTGGACAAACTGGCCTTGTCTCTGTGTCTTCTCTGCTGTTTGCTGAACCTCATACGAATTGGAAGAATTCTCCGCGCAGGACCCATGATAATAGATGTAAGTTACGAAACCAAATCTTATTGGCTTCCCCACAAGAGAAAACCACAAATTGACTTTAATTCGAAATTGTTTATTTTCCCTCGTAGGATGATATCCATTTTACGTCCACATCAGTTGGTTTCTTCCTGGTGTCCAGCCTTCTGGGCCTCTTCCAATGTTACCTCCTGGTCTATCGCACGTCTTGGAGGACCTCTAAGAATATCGCGGCCCTTCTCTGCCTCGCCTCGGTGGAGGGACACCTCTACTTGCACGCCTACCGCTACGGTCTGACATCGGCATTCACCATCTTGGCTGCTCTGCTGGCGGCTTGGAGGATCCAAACAAGGAGCATTCCGCCCAAGTTACCAGACTACACCGTATGATGAAATCTTCAAACAAGCATCAGAAAAACCTCCCAGGATGAGATAAAGCACCATCAAACTGGGTGACAACTTTCGGAGTTACTTAAATCTGTTTTGTGCCATCAACGAACAGAGTGGATATGTTGTACTGCAAAATTAGGAGTTGGCTCTTAACTCCTTTTGTGAGTGATGTAGCAACATACATTTTGAACTGGTTTGGTTGTTTTTTTGGGTTTTTTAAGTTTGAGTGATACCACACTGCTGTTGGTCAGTATTGTCCAGACTTTGACTGGCCTGGATCTGTTGCCTGGCAACATTACCTAGCAACCACGCAAAATAATGATGCTGTCTTACACAACATCCAGTGACATTCAGAGTGTTACTAGCATTTCCTTTGACTTTCATTGGGGAGGGGTGGGGCATTTATCTTTGCTCCGCCCTGTTTTTGCCAGTCACTGGTCCAAGATGCTCATACATGTATTTGTACGTAGATGCCTCGACCATTTTGCACAAATTGTAAATATGCTAATTAACAATCAGATCATCTTTGTCATTTGCTCCCAAAAGAAAAATGAACTTAAAAACAGAATTTATTCAGAGAGCAGATTGGTAAAGATTAATTTTTTTAATGTTACATTCATTTATTATTTGTACTAAAAAGTGATGTTTCATATTCTGATGTACCAGACTTAACTTTCTGTTGATGTAGTAGGCTTCACTTCGTATGAACAAGTTGGTGTGCTTGAACAAAAAACAGTTGACTAGAGGACATTAAAATCCAACTAATCGTCTAAAATTTGTACAAGTGTTAATGGTGCTAAGCCTTTTTAAAGTAAGGGGTATTGTTGAATTAAACAGTTGAGTCTAATAGCATTGTATTTTAATTAAGGTCTCTCGTTATCAACACAATTAACTATCGGAATATATGTATTTGTCCAAGTTGTCGTTTTAGTAAAGAACATTGAAATGCTAGGTACATGTTTCATGTCAGATTTTGACAACTTTGATTAAGATTACTAAGGTTGTCTTTTATCTTACTAACATGTTAACCATGTTTGTATTTATTAAATCATCAATAAAGTGAAGATATATTTTTGTCTTAATATCAACTGACAGTTTGCTGTGTGTTTGTCCATCTTGTTAGCTGTTTGTGGTTAGTCACATCCATTGAAAAGTGTCGACTCATGTCGGTGTATATCTTAAACAGCAGTGCCCCCCCCCAAGTTTTAATTTTCGAGGAAATTTGTCCCAAAATGATGAGTTCTGTTCAATTTTTTATGCAGTGACAGAATGGAGTATCACACCAACTTCTGAACTTGTATTGTAGCTGAGCTGGACGTCTTGCCTCTATAGAGGGCGGCAAACGAAAAACGTGATCCAACTTCGTTCGTACGTACGTACGAGCTTGGAAGTTGTACCCCGGCCCCCACTACCCGCACAGATTGTCTATTTTAAGCCTGATCTGTGATGCATAAATGGTGCTTTTTTATCACACACTGTTTCGTGTGAATAATGCTGGTACTGTTCTTCTCCACCGTGACTGGCCAAGCGGGCAGATCTCTCAAAAATATCGTCATTTTGAAGAGTTTTTTTCAGACTCGCGCCTTGTTTTCGACAACTGACGTAAGGCCTTGTCCGTTCCTTACTCGACTTTCGCCACCATCTCGAGGGATAGGCTTGTGCATTCGCCATAATTGCAGTCAGAAACAAACGCAGGAAGTACAGATAAGGTGGGCACTTATTTGGGCAAATCAAGTACATTTTGAAAACGTTGCTTTTGATTTCGTTAGTGATACCGGTTCATGCCTTGCCCCGGCCTGGGGGGGGGGGCGTGTCGTTGGGCCGGACTGCCTTGCATGCCAGGCGGTGCACTAAAAGAATTATTTGTCAATGTTTAGACGGTAAGGTAATTTGTAAAGAAAATGGATGAATTTAACACCAATTTTTACCAAGCTATGGAAAAGGATCTTCCTGTATGGAGAAGACTTTGACAGGTTTTTAAACGGTTTCTTATTTTCAGAGGCATGGCAAGCATCGATAGCCTTGACAAGACGCAAGTCAAACTATTGGCTGAGGAGTGCATCGTGGTGGACCAAGACGACAAGGTCATCGGTTCAGCTTCCAAGAAAGACTGTCATCTAAATGAGAATATAGAAAAAGGTAGCTGGACTTCGGGACTTTGGATTTAGGGTTGACAGAAAGGTCCAAAATAAAGATAGGCCTAGTATAACTTGATTTCACACTGCACTTCACGTTTTAATTTTGGGTGATTTTTTGTTTTTAATGTTTGGGTTTTGCAGGTTTACTGCATCGAGCGTTCAGTGTGTTTCTGTTCAATCAGAAAGGACAGTTATTGCTTCAACAAAGATCTGACGCCAAAATCACATTCCCAGGTAAAACTCTAATTAAGAAATTTGGTCAAATGTCATTTTCTTCCTTCAGCGACTCTGCCAAGTATCCTGAAAATGGAGTCGTACATGTGTGCATGTCAAATAACAAGTCTTAGATTGCATGGATGTATCGCTTTTATTTATGGAAATTTCTCGCTGGAAATTTGTGTACGTCAAAGAACGTTGAAGTTATTTACCGACACAAGCAGATAGCAGGGTCAACATTTGTTAACTATATTTAGATTTGGGTCAGCTACTGATCCATTTTAAGCGTGAACATGAATATCAGATTTCAAAGGTCAACCATAACCAAACTTAATTGGGCAAAGTCCAGTGATGGTATGGTTGCCATGGAAACAATAGTCATCCTTTTTTTCCATTTGAATTGTGCGTCGTATAGGTCAGATTATGGCTTGGAAATTTCAAATTGGATGTTCGACCTCCCAACTTTTTAAGTCAAATTTCTCAAAAGTGTTCCTTACCTTTAGACATACATCAAAAAATAACTTTTTATTAGGAATGAAACAATATTTGTGTGATTTTTTTCCTTTATTGCTTCCTTTATCGTTGTTTGCATCCAGGATATTGGGCCAATACGTGCTGCAGTCATCCGCTGAGTTTTCCCGAAGAGTTGGAGGAAGCGGAGAATCTCGGTGTGCGGCGAGCAGCGCAAAGGAAACTCAAACACGAGCTGGGCATCGAGCCGGAACAGGTTGGGAAGAATTCCCCTGGAAGATCCCCCTGTAATGGGGAACCTTTGCTGCCCTTCTTGTCCTATGGAGTCCCCTGAGATTACTCCAAATCGTCACCTCACCGCCCAATATGGGCGATTCACTGTAGTGCGCTACCAAGAGTTTGCAATGCATTGGCCAATCATAATGCACGAAATTTGTCGACCCTTTCCAAACGAGCATTCCGTTGAAATCCATCACATAAGATCAGTGTTAACATAGGTTGAGTTTGGGCGGCGTGTTCTTGACGCAGGTTTCTTGTTCTCGCGCTCGAATGGCAGGAACACGACTCAAGAACACTGTCTTCGGAACAGAATCACAAACCATGTCCTTGTCGGGGTTTAAGAGGAATACAAAGAAAAACTCGTGAGATTTTTATTTTTATTTTTGAACAACCACAAATAAAATAGCGAGATGGCTTACAAAGGTGGAGACAGGGGGAAGTTTTGCACAATTAACTTAAATAATTTTTCCAAACAGAAACGAATCGTCCTTTAATAGAAAAGAGTTCGGTTCAGTTATCCGAACATTAACCACTTCCTGCCAGGTGGAATTTGCATGTGCGGGATGAGTTCCCGGAGGATCTTCAAGATTTTCCATTTTCAAAAATGCCAGTGGCGTCTTTTCAAATGCGGCCGGATTAGCGTGCAGCGGTACTGTATCACTCATTGCTGGATACTGGAGCACTTTTGTCCCTGCTGAATGCCACAAAAGGTGGTATACAATATCTCAAAATGACGACGGATTACCTCCTCTATTGACAACTGAAAAATGATGGCAAATCATCAGCAGCTGGGTCTTTTGTTCCAAGTACGGTCTTTTGTTGCGAGGCCAAGCTCTTTTGTCCAATTTTGGTTACCCTGGCTATGCATACAAATCTAAGGTGCCCGGTTCTGGAAACCCCGGAGGCAATTGGTCAAACCTCAAAGAGCGTACATGGACGCTACCATGTTGAATGTTGCTTGCCACTTACTACCAGCAATAACTAGTTGTATGTTCCCAACATTCCAGCGGCCAACCCACGAAGAGGAAATCAAGCTTTTCATGAAAATACGAGAACAAGCCTCCCAAACTCAGCCATGCTGCTGGTTTGTCACCCTAAAACATTTTAAACTATAGAGGGCAGCGTTAACTTCATTTGAGCACACTGACATGCTTCAGCCACTTGAGGGTGATGTATTATGTTGTATATACAGTGGTACCTTTTTGCCCAGTAGAGGGCAGTAGTTATTCAAATCACAACATGACTGGCAATTTTTCCCCAAAGAGGGCAGCATTGCATTATTTCAAACAATTATATTGCCCAATGGAGGGCAGTGTTTACATAGATCATTTCCAGAATTGTGTAATTTGCTCAATAGAGGGCAGTACATATTTTCCAATCGAGGGCAGTGTTTCTAAGCTTGGTACATGTGCCATGAATTTTTTGTTTTGCCCTGGGGGCAGCGTTGGCCAGTCATTTATTAAACTTAGACTGGTCCCTGTCCCTATTATATAGGGACTGGTAGCTAGCTCCTGTTTAACGTGTGCTATTATTAGCCCTGTCAATTCGGATGCTGAATATTTAAATTTTTGTCGGACCAATTAGCATAAATTGAAGCAAGAAGCGAACAAAACACAAGTAAGGCCTATCTTTGTTACATTGCTGTCGATCTCAGTAAGGTAATATTTTTTTTCAATGATTTTCATCTACAAATCATTTTACGGCTATTTACTCTAAATCAGTGGTTATTGTGTTAAATTTTAGCTAAACGAACAATTTATGGTGGAGTTTTTTTCATTCATGAAGAAGAAAAAGCAAAACATGCTCTCAGCTCCTGCTTGACTTGTGCATTGAGCAGGCATCGTTTCCTCATTTACATACACTTGGCAGGATTTTCTGCTGGATTCATTACTTGCTACCGGTCCCTACATTTGGAGGACGTCTGTAAGACATTTGGAGACTTCATGCGGGACGGGAACCAGTCTATCATTTAACTGTTTCATGACATCCTGTAGAGGGCAGCACAGTGCCTGTTTTGTCCAAAAGAGGGCAGTATTTTCTTAAGGTGTGAAAAGAGCACTTTTTGTTCTGTTGTTGACACTGAAATATATTCTGCGAATACTTTTAGGTGCCGTTGAATGATTTCAACTATCTGACGCGCATCCAATACCAAGCCAAGTCAGACGGCAAGTGGGGAGAACATGAAATTGATTATATCCTCTTTATTCAGAAGGAAGTAGACGCTAAACCAGAACCAAATGAGGTAAGAAAGTCAATGTTTCAATGACTCTTTCAACAAAAGAAAAAAAAAAAACCTGTTTTGGACTTGACAGTTTCAAGTATTCTTGAAATGAAATTTCAGTGAAGGAAATGGCCCCACCCCCAAAAGGGAAGCAAATATAAACAGATTTAATCAAGTTTGATGTTTGCTCTTGTAGGTACAAAATGTGCGTTACATTAGTCCGAACGAATTGGAAGGATTCCTCAAAAGTTCCGAGACCAAAGGAACTAAGATCAGCCCATGGTTCAAACTGATCGCACAGACACTCCTCCCTGATTGGTGGAAACACTTGGACAATGTAAAGAGCCTAGAGGATCATGGGACGATCCACAGGATGTGAAGGGCATGATGGGTCAGCATGTGTGCATTCAGAGACACTGAAGCAGCCGACTGGAATATTAATTTACTGAATCACGCGACACAAAGTATCAAGTTACAGTCTGGAGAGGACGTTGTGAGAATTATGGGATTGGGCACAGGTCATTTTTTGCAGTGGATTTTGGGAAGTCAAGAAAGTCCAATTCAGTTCACTGCAAGGCAAGTGTATGTTACGTCTTTTGAAATCCACCAAATTCAACATAAAACCACACTAGTACAGATACTCCTTGGTGATAAATTTACCAACCAAAAACATCTTACAGGTACATCAAGGCAGTTACAATTTTGTTTTGAAGATTCTTTATTGTATGACATAAATCAATTATTTTAAAGAGGATTTGGCAGGTGGAAAATTTAAATTTCCAAGCGGTTGGCTTTCATTATTATATGCTGTAACTGAGAGTTGGACACTAACCATTTCTTGATAGTTGATCAGATTGGGTTAGTTTCGTTGAGATAAAACACGTTATCTCTGTGCTAATAGTTATCAGTTGTTCAAACCCTAAGTGCAAGATTTTCACTGACCTCCTTCTGATACATGTATTGATAAATTTTTTTATTCCAAAATCCTCACATTGTAATCTGACTAAGGATTTACCAGAGTCCATAAGTTTTAATGAGTTCACTGACTGAAAATAAATGACTTTGGGTAATGCTGATCATTACTCTTAATTTCAATTTGGAGTTTGATAAGAGTCATGTCGTGTAGCTGATGTTGTCTCTCATCACGTAGTTGGTGTCTTTTGTTGCTGTTTGTGCTGCTTGACGCACTGAATAGTACAAAACTTGTAGTCCAGGTACTCAAAGGGAACCTTGCCCACAAGGCTGGCTCCACACATCCAGCAACGCCTGCAAAATGGGGAAATGGGATGGGAACCAGTGATCACCTTGTGTCACTCCGTGTCACTCCAATCTTTATGTGATAGTGTGGGCGTGGAAGAATTGGGTTTGTTTTTGGCTCTACGTCCAGACCACCATCTGTGCCTCCAGCCTTTATATTTTTGTGTTCTTGTCCTCCCACGTTTTCCTATGACCAAAAACCTACGCCCCTTGGAATAAATATTACTCAAGAGGCAAACAGAAATCTTACTTAGTGTTATTGAGGATGACCGTGTCCGTTGTCATAGCCCCCTGAGCCGTGAGCTGAGCCTGAAATCGCCTCTCCGCCGCCAGAGCTCTCTTCTCCCGGTCGCTCAGCGCCGCAAACCTCCGCTTCTCTTCTTCCTCCGCTTCTCGCATCTTCCTCTCCTCCTCTTGTCTCTTCAGCTCCTCTTTTTGCTCCTAAGAAATAAAACGTAAAGTGGATGTGTAGAATAATAGAACACTGTAAGACACACAAAGATCTAGAGGCCAGGCTCGACCTTCCTTAATCTCACAAAATCTTCGAAAAAGCTGATAGATTTTCAAAGATAATCACCTTTTCTCGGATCCTCTTGTTCTTTTTCTGCAATTTCTTCTTCTCGGCTGCTTTTGCGGCTCTCATCTCCTCCCTGTCGGAAGTCAACGGGCTTGGTACCTGTGCACAAAACAGCAGGAAGCAACTGGCTAAAAAGTTTAGAAAGTCACGACGTTGCTCATCTACAGCTAGAGACTCTAGTTCAATTCCTGTAGTCACTCCTCGGATGGTCTCTGTGTCACCGACACTCATAACTTCCCACCGTTTTTATCTCTAACCAATGGTATTATCTATGAAATGTTCTGATTCAGTCAATACCTGAGCTCTCTCGTAGTCGTACTTCCCTGGGTGTGCTGCCATAAACCTGCGGAATTCTTTCCTGAGACCTTTGCCATTGCACAGGACATAAGGGAGTTGACGTTTGCTATTTCTGAAAATACAAATCCGAGTAACATGAGCAAGTCAAGCCCACAACGCTGACTGAACAGTTTCAATGAAGTTTTAAAAACTTCAAAAGTTGAAGAAAATCTGACAAGTGTTTCTTGACACTAAACAGAATCTAATGAAATCCCACAAAACCACATAAAATTTCCCAAGGAATCAAGCTACTGATGCAAACAATCTCGTTCACTGCTTGGAACAAGATCTGACAGGACTACCCTAATGCTAGATTTTGTAGGATTTTAGCTCATCTACACTTCACTTACTTAATGGCAGGATCGGCTCCAATTTCCATCAACTTCCACACCATCACCGCCCTTTCTGCCTGAACCGCCACATGCAACAAGGTGTTGCCCAGCTCATCGACAGGACGGTTCACTATGTCTGCCATATCCTCTCTGCTACCCATCATGCTTTGTCCATTACCCAGCATGCCCTGCTCCGCCCCTGCCAACCCTGCACTGTCCACCATCAGTGCACCCTGGCCATGTTTCCTTTGGTCTCTTTTGTCTCCCACATTGTCCTCAGATCCCAGGCTTAAGTGAGGTACTCCAGAAACAACATCCTTCCCAGTGGAGGCAACCTTGTTCCCGTCCTCTCTCAGTACAGTTTTCTTTTCAGGTTCACCATCTGAAGTCTTATTTCCAAGGTCGTGAGGATGAATATCTTGCTTTATCGTGTGTTCACTTTGATCAGCGCCCTCATCACCAGATTTACTTTTCTCCTCTGTTGTTGATACTCCTGTATTGGTACCCTCTCCATTTGCGTGTGCTATCATCAAAGACTTTAGCTGGTCCCAATCACCTGTCCTGCATGCTTCACATAGGACATCCATCTGCTTGTTGGATTCATCTTGCTCTATTAAACACAGACCCAATAACGAAGTTTACATCATGACTATTGAAATATGCAAAGTATTTCTGCTGAAATTTTTAGCTGGATTTGGGTTCTCAATCTGACCAAGATTATTAACCACTTGCTGCTGGGTGGAATTTGAAGTTGCACGATGTGACGAGATTTTCAAGATTTTCCGTTTTCAAAATTCTTCAAAAAATCATAAGTTCATTTACTGGACGTTTACACCCACACGATTGACTGTCTGGTGCTACTCTAATCTAAAAAACAACATCTATTGATGCCAGAGTACTTCAGCCAGGCCTGCCGCCTTGTAAAAAGAGCCCAGATTGTGCAGTGTTCTGTAACTTTGTTTGGTTCTGGATACTGGCACAGTGCCCACTGGTGTCTTTTCAATACGGGCCAGATTAGCGTGCAGCAGTATTGTATCGCCCATCACTGGAGCACTTTTGTCCCCAGTGGTAATCTGCTCGCACTGAATGCCGCAAACAGTGGTATAACCTTTCAAAACAATGACGGATTTCCTCCTCTATTGACAACTGAAAAAATGTTAGCAATTCCCAGCAGCTCAGTCTTTTGTTCCGAGTACGGTCTTTTGTCCGGTTTCGGGCTCCCCGATTTCGTGAATGAAGCCTATGTGCCCAAAACCGGGCTCCCCGGCAGTATATGGTTAAGCCCGACCCAAACATACGTGATCCAAAATTTACTCATACCACTGTTTTCCAGTTTCTTTTTTGGCTTTTTCTTCTTCTTTGGCCGTTGAGATTTCTTGACATTAGTCTCAAACTCCTGAAGTTCCAGAGTCGATATCTCTTCTTCCACTAACACCAAGTCAATCTCAGCTTCGCTCTCACCAGGATCAGCTGACGGTTTCTCTACAAAAAGAAAAACACAAAACAAAGGTTGAATGTTCTACACAAAGTCTAAATCCTATCCATATTTGTTGATCTTTTCTGTGTGGTAGTTTATCAAGAGGTAAGGAATTCCACTGGCAGGACGACCTGTAACATTCCGTGCAATGTTTCAGTCTTTCTGCAGGAGAAAAGACCAATTGGGGTTGGAGTGTCCACCTGACGGTATGATACCTTTGTTGCTCTCCATGTCTGCTGTAGAATTCTCGGTATTTTCACCAGTCCGTTTTGTCTTTGCACTGTTCTTTGGCTGTTTTGCCTTGGGCGAGTGCGCATCAACGATTCGCCTCTCTGCTTCGATTGCATCTCCTGAAAGCCAAACCAGGTGCAATGATAAAAAAATTGAGAATGATTGTGAAGAATGTCGAAGATGAACTTAAGCAGGCCCGTAGAATAACAGCCATGCAGATCATATGAGGTATTGGAGGGATGGGTTTCATTTACCATAACACTCTATGGTTGACAGCAAATCATGAACCCGCTGGATCTCCTTATAGGTCGGCCGCCGCGTGGCAAAAGGGATAGTAACAATTCTCTGGTCATGCCGATCCAGCGGTGGGCTCTTCCCTCCAAAAAATACGTTCTTGTTGTAGCTGGGCGCCCTCATGAAGATGCGATGGCAGGCCTTGGTCTGGTCGTCCCAGCTTGCGAGGAGTGCATGGATATCATCGACAAGGGCCGCTTCGTTGTAGCGTCTCAACGAGGCTCCTGCAGATCTGGCATTTTTCAAAAATGAAAGAAGAGAATTACAAAAACTCCATAAAGTTCAATAGCCTTGTCAGAAATACTTTATTTGTTAACAGAACAGATGCAAAATTAGACAGTGACACAAAGCCAGAATATTTTACATGTGTTCAGAGGATGTTTTGATGTGTTGTTTTTGTTGGTACTCACTTTGGTTGGTTCCCGCCTTGTTGTGAATCTCTCATACCCTGGGCGGTGCCGCGCTTTGCTCGGACAGTGTAACGGTGGAACGTCTTGTGAACAACAACCTCCTTGCTGAAATTTTTAAAAATCATGTCAATCAGCGTTGAAGCTTGACCAATCTTGACACAAAGTTGGGACTTTCTGAAATCTGGACCCACTGCCAGGAGGTAATCTGACCAATATTCTTACCCATCAAAGATGGCACCTGCAAAGTGGCCGCCACCAATCATGAGAATCAGCCATTTCATTCTCACCGGAAGCCGAGTTGCCATGGCAATAAGTTCTTGCTGCGTGGTCGGAATATCCTGAGGTAAAAATAAAAATGAAGATTGGCAACGGAATCTGTTTGAAGCTATTTGTCAGTACACAAGCAAAAGAACATCTTGTGAAATTTAAAAAGTAAAATTCACCTTTTTACCATGCAAAACACATCGCTGCACTGACACGAGCCGCCCCTCACCACTCCTAAAGAACACTTTGGGATGCCTACGACCCAAGACATGATGGTGTGGTTCTGGTGAGTCAGAAGTGCAGGAACCAGACTTCATGCGATCACTGTCATTAGCGCTGTCGTTGTCATCGGTAGAAGAATCACTCCCAGATATACTAGACACATCACCTGAAACATTTTTTTAATAAAAGATCAGAAGAAAAAGACATCACTTTTTGTCAAATTTAAGACGAACTTTACACAAATTGCTGAAGGTTTTGTCAAAACAACAATTCAGGATTCAGATTGGCTAATGTATTTACCTATTGAAACCAACCTGAAATACTCTCAAAGTGTTCTTCAGTCACAGGTGAAGCTCCCATCATCCTTTGCTTCAAGTTGAATCGGTGCCAATCCAGTTTGTAGTGATCTATCTGTTTATCCAAAGGAAACCCACATACAGATACATCACAGAACTAAATAACATGTTTGTAAACTATTAACAGAAAAATAAATAGTTTTTTTTGATTGGGGAAGAGAGTGACTTCCCAATAAAACATCAAATTGCGGTGTTTACCTGTTGTTGTCTTGAAGTGAAATGACAGCTACACAGCAAACAAGTCTTTTTGGTAGAGATGGTATAAACCTCAGTCTCTAGTAAAAATATCCCAAAAAAGAGAGAAAATATGCACGAACCATTTTCCATAAACAGCATGTTTACAGTTTTTAAGCGTCTTCATTTTACTCCTGCTGGTATAAGACCAGAGCAATGCCATATTCCATCGGCAAACTCGGATCACGGACAAACCAACCTGGTCTTCTCACTGGACTGTCACTGGACAGCTCCACCATGTCATCAACTTCTGAGTTCAGCTGGCATGGCGATAGCATGAGCCCTTTCAGAACAGATGCTGATATGATGGGGTCATAGAGGTGAAAGGTCATGACCTGCCCTTTCTTCGTATCATCATTGAAGCTCATGTTTGTTTCATCTGGATTGGCTGAAATCACACCCTCTGACAGTTCAACAATTGCATCAGCCATTTTGCTGTAATTAAAAAGAAAAACTTCGATCATTATGATGATCGTCATGACTGGTTGACATGGGTGATCACTACGCAATCAATCGATTTCTGGGCATTGTTGTTTGAAAGGAGGAATTTACCCGGAATTAAGTGTGAGATTTCCTACAAGATTGACTGATCAACCAATCGTGCAGATCCCAAATACTGACCGACCAATCGCGCCAAACAGAATAATCTACATGTATCTTGCTAATTAACGAGTACATACAGTGTTAGTAGTGCATATTATCATGATTATGAGACATGACCGTGAAGACAACGATGACACGGTCATGATGGTGGTGATCATCTGACAATGTGACATATGACATGTCTGAGCTGATCATGGCAATTGTTTTTTTAAAAAGCCGTTCAAATGAAAAATTGCTCACCACTCCGTGTGATGTGTCCTTGCTCTATGATGTGATCAAGAGACTCGCTGCGATTGTATCCGACTGTGTGGCTTGATCTGATTAATTTTTGGCAGCACTACCAACCCTATCCTCTTCGGCACATCGCATGCAACGAGAAGGAAATCCGTATGATTGTGCAAGATAGGTACATATCGTATGTAGCCCTAACTATGATCATGATATTACTTATAACAATAACACGTAAAAAGTTCAGGTGCTAGACAAGTAAATGCCAGGGTAAGCAAACTCCTCTGCCGCCTCGGGGACGATCCCGAACGCTCAAAATTCCCTCTGCCTTGAATACCCGTTAAAGGGTGCGTACAACTCTGAGAGCGAGGAAGCGCAACACCTCAGCCCCTCAGCTCCCCCCTTTAATTTGTTGGTTTGTCGTTTTATTTATTATTTAGTTATTTATTAGCCACACCCAACAGCAGAAATACCGCCAATTACAGGAATGGAAACAAATAAACTCAAATTAAAAAAAATGTAATTTAAATTGTGACATATAGAATTGCTAAACAAACACTAGACTAAAAATAACGGATATGTATGTGCATATATAAATAAATAGAAATTACACATAAATAAATCATTTAACGAGAAAACAAGACAAAACAAAACTATAAGGGAGAATGACGGTAATCCAGGAAATAAGATGATGTTAAAGTGGATCGGAGGGAGTCACAACCCAGGGGAGTACAGATGAAGTAACTATTGAATCAAAGACAAACAATAAACCGCAGACAAAAATATAAACAAACATCAAATACAACACAAAATAGACAGACACCTGAACATCTGGGTAAACAAACGTACATGAACTAGGGGGACTGAGGACACACAAACAAGAAACAAACAAAAACAAGAACATTCAAATCACGGTAATATTAAATTCAACAAATTGCAAACTAAACCGGTAAATTAAGAACTGATTTGTGTCAGAGCACAGGACACCTGCCTACGAAAAGAGTTAATTGACGGTGTCCCAAACACATCACATATCCCCATGATGGAGCCCATTAGAGGTCTGGTTTTATTCTGCTCCAGGTCTATGGTTGGTTTGTTGGAATTAGCAATTCTTTCAGTATGCAAGCCTTTTTAGCATGTGTCTCCATGTTTTAAATCTAACTTTTTGTTTATAACAGGAGTTTAATTTAGCTGAAAACAATTTTAACTCCCACTGATAAAAATTTTTAAAAAGTACATTTTAGTCAAATCATACAATCTTTGGGGGATAATGTCCACATACAGAAAATGAGTTCGAAGATACTCAAGTGGAGCAAAAGGTTTGATAGGTTTTCGTGTACAGCGCCCCCTTTTTTCCTTGATGCCAGCTACAAAAATTGAAATCTGAAACGGTGGAAAACACTGATAATAAACCAGCCATCGGAGAAGTAGAATGTGCGCCACCAACGGTACCCTTCCACGCATCATCAAGTACTGTTTACAACTAAACGCTTGACTGACTCTGCTCTATGATAATAACTGGCGTCGGTAGAGCACGGGCGTACGCTTGACATTCCTCGCGCGCTGGGTAATTTGAATATAAATAGAAAATTGTGCACAGGTGAACCGCCAGTGCCATACACGAAGGCAGGTGTATGCCACCTACGCGTGCGCGCAATACGTGTGGTAATATATTAACAGACGTTCAGGTAAAGTGCATAGCAAAGTTGAGTGGACTGGGCCCAGCCTTTCTGAAGTGTTTCACTTTGTGTTCAGTTTTCAAGGTTTTTAGTTAAACTTTTGGGGTTTTTCACCAGCGTCTCGTCGAGTGGAGAGCTTCTTGGATGTGTAGTTCGTGTGCTCGTCCCTCTAATCGCTGACTTTCATCCTTTTCTGACTGCCATACCTGTGGAGGAAGCATCTTGTTTGGCCTAATTTCCGTGCGAACTTCGGGAGCTGTCTTAAAGTGTTCCCCACGTTGGTAACATTAACACGTACGGCGGTTGAGCGTAACTCAGCGTGCGTTGACGAGCTGGTCATGGGGCGCTCGGTGAGAAATCTCTTGCGGCAGGTGCCAGTGTTGGCCGCTGTGCTGGCGTTGGCGTGGGGACAGAACCTGGACACCCAGTGGCCGGTCATTCACACGGGGCCAGAGGGGAGCATGTTCGGCTACACTGTGGAGTTGCACAGGGACGGTGACACCGACTGGTAGGTTGGAGTTTTTCTGGAAATTCAGATTTGAAACTATTTTAAAGTTCAGGACGAGTTTGATGCACAGACATGACAGATGTCACATGACACTTTGTGCACTAACCCATGGTGTATTTACTAAGTACATTTTTCCTACTAAATTTGACTTTTAGGACATTTTACTGCTCTCTCATGGCTAACTTCCTTAAACTTAGGGCAAAATTAGTTACATCTGTTAATGGAACTCTTTTCTGAAGTTTTATAATGTTTATTGGAGAGAACTTCGGGGTAAGTATTCCATACGTCACAGATTTTTCCCTGCACCTTCTTCTCTGAAGTGCAGATGTCAACCATTAGAAAGCATTGTCGTGACAAGTCAAATCTAGCCCGGAATATGTCGAGCCTTGAGGCCTTAGAAACGCGATTCTTCAGACCGGTCTCGTACTCGTATGGGGCTTGTGCACAGGGTATCAAGTGATGTCTCGATACGGAACTCTGTCCCAATTTTGTTTCAAGAGTGGAAAAGCCAGTTTGCCCCTTCATCATGAGGATAGCATGTATGACATGATTGTATCAAGGGAGGGATGTTTCAGTGTCTGTTTCCGTGTGTTTTTTATGTTTAAAGCTGAAAAAAAATTGAATATTTAAACGGGTTATTGAGCAAGTTGGTGACATCATTCAGATATCATGTCCAGTAGTTATAATGTTGATTTTTATGACTGTCAAATAGTTAATGATGCTGTCAAAGTCATCTAATGAAGTTTTGTATCTGGCCAACAACTTTCAAGCCATATTGAAAAGATAATATTTTTCTTACTATGACTTGGAAATTACCAAAAATCGTGAACTTGATGGAGAAACACAAATTTAAGAGAGAGAAAAGGTTCTAAGTTCCCTCTGAAAGTAAACCTTACTTAAAGCAGACTTTGAAAGCATTGGCTATAGGCTTTGTGCTTGGGGTCTGAGGCAGAGGCAGGATATAGAACTCTTTCTGAATATTTTAAGTGCTGTACATGTACATGTAGGTTCAGTTTCAAGGGCCTTTGTTTTCATTTTTGGTGTGTGTTTCGTCAGTTTGCTTTTGGCTGTTTTTCTGGGTTTGGGCGATGGATGAATTTATCCAACTGTCTCCTGCTTGTCACCTCATCTACAGGTGCATTTGGTCCCTCTAGAAATTAAAAGTGACTCAAAACCTATTCATCCAGCACAAAGACACTGTATTACTCAGGAGCCCACAGAGCTCAGTTTTTGCCCCCAAAACAACCAAAAAACCACATATGACTCAAGTTCAGAACAGAGGAAAAGAATGACCATTAAGTTAAAGGATTGAATGTAACAAAATACCGCTTGGGAAAAAAAAGTCAAAAAAGGAGAAAAAGGCATTGGCCATAAGTAACCTCTGAAACATAATAAACTTGAAGTGAAGAAGAAAAACGTCAATAATACCCCGCACAAACATCCTTAGCGCTGACGCACACTCAACGTCCAAACGCCGGTCTCATACCGACGCATCGATTTGTGGATTTAGTTCAAACGCGTACATGTACATCCGTCTCCCCCCCCTTTCGCCCCCTCGGGCATGCAGGACATTATTTTGACCACAGTAGCGGACTATATCAAAATGCAAAAGACAGGGGAGAGCAGGAGAGATTCCCTGTGAAAGGAAGTGGCTCGTAGGCACAGATTGTTTGTCAAGTATCGCTGGATTATTTCCTCCTGCTTGAGGTCAGTGTAAATATCCAAGTGAAATGAACACAGGATTAACTGGGCATTTGCCTCAGAGATTTCTGTTGAAAGACTGCCTTTTGATCTCTGTCTTTTGCCTGGAAAAATAAGTCTGACGTACGAATTGATTGATTGATACAGAATTACACAAGTACAGTGTTTTATTATGTTGTTAATTTCTCAATAAATGAGATCCAGTAGGCCCTATTTACGTAACTTGCGTTGGGGACTGTTGTTGGTTGTTCATTCAAGGTGAAGTACAAGTGTATTTTGAACTTGCTAAAAGAAAATCATATTTTTAGTGTGGCATAATTTCAGTCATCACTTTTCTTGGAAGGAAATCAGGCCATATTTGTAAAGTGCGTATCCCTTCAGTTTATTATTTTTTTCTAGAATTTTCACCAGAGAGAAATCCTCCAAAAGTAAAGCTCGCGTTACGCCATCAGGACACTGAATCAGTAGGGAGAAGATCTCCAGTTGGAATGATTAATCTCTGCACGTACAACACCTTGGGTATCACTTAGGGCCGGCCGAAGTTATTGACATTTTTAGTGAAAGTGTAGAACATTGAAGAGGGGGGGGAGAGGGAAAGTGTCAGCTGCAATGAGCGAGCGGCAGAGAGAGTTGAATTAAGTATCAGTGCCTTCCAAGGGTGTCGTTGAATGTATTAAAGTTTTACCGAGTAAACAAGGAAGGGTTCTTATTGGCTTGTCTGTCTCTCCAGAGAGAAAGACTTTACTGATAGTTTAAAAAGTGCTCTAAATCTGTCGACTTGGGGAAGGCCCTCGATTGCGGGTTGCACAAATGAGGGAGAAGAGCTGAAGAAAATTTTTTCTTTTAGTGAGGAGGACGACATACGTCGTTATTTCATAGCCATTTTGTCTTGTTCCCCTTTCTTCCGACTATGTGTGCACCACATTGTGTGTGTGAACGCATTCGAGGGGAAGGGGACCAGTGGCACAATTACAGGGTACCAACCCTCCCAGCATGCCACCTTTTTTTCGTCTGCATCTTGAAGAGTCTTCCAAAACTGCCCTGATGAATTTTGAAAAATCTGGGAGGGTTTTGGTTGTAGGTATTGTTTATGTGATTAAAGTTTCCTCCTTTTTTTTTTATTTATCTGCTTGCATTGAAATGTTGAATCTGTTCAAATGGCAGTTCAGAGAAAGAAAAGTGCACTAATCCCAATGAGTGTAAAGTGGATGGCTCTATTGACCATGAAACAAATTGCCCTTGAGAAATCTGAAGTAGTCAGAATTGCTTCCTGCAATTAAGTCAATAGGATGATTGTCTCCGAAAATCCAATCCCGGCAAATAGCCAACATATTTTCCAATTTAGCCAGCCTGGCGGTGTGATGAGACCCCTGGCATGCATTCTCTGGACATGCTCTGCTGTGTGCCTCCGGCTTTGTGAGCCATGCCAGCTCTCCTGCAGTGCTGTCGCTAATTGGACTTGCACAGGCAGGAGGGGAAAAAAAAAACGCTCTTCTCAGAAACCTTACTCAGTTATTAAGTGAAATATAGCATTTCTGCCTAAGTGTCAGTCATGAACACAAAGCCACTGGGATTACTTTGCATTGGAAATTACATTTTTACAAGAGAGGGAAAGAGCACGATGTTGTACATGTATACTTGTGTATGTACATGCACATCACGTGTCGTGTTCGATTTGATCTTTCTTCTCTGTGAGTGGACCTCTAAAAAAATGGTCAATTTAGATTTCCTACTCGGTCGTAAATAATCGTGCGCTGTGGATGTATACGATATGTATGCACGTACGTTGGCACAGCGTCTGAGTGACTGTCCTTTGATCATTTCAGGGTACTGCATGTGACTTCCGTAGAAATTAAGGCTTTCGGTTTTAGTTCTGGGTCATTAATAAAAAAAAACCTTGCATCATTGACGTTTTTTTATGGAGTATTACGCAAGTGCCAATGTCATGGTCGCCCGATCGTAACTCTGTGGTTTTTGTTTTGGTCGGTTTTCCTTCCTCCATTCATCCACTGAGGAAGGAATCAGCCTTTTGCAGGATGACTTGTCCCAAAAAAAAAAAAAAGGCTCTCAAACTACGTTATCCCGTGGTTGTTTCTTTGCTGTGTCACTGCTGCAGACCTGTTTTAGTCGGACTATTTGTGTACTCTGGTATTGGGGGGGGTTTGAGGGGGATTGGTTTGGTTTTTACTGCAAATTGCAAGTGATTTACTGATACGTGCACACAATTCTGTCCAGTTTCCTTCTGTGTATCTGAGTCCTACTTTCCTTTTCCCCCAAGTGTGGGGCCAGTAGTGAGTAAATTCTGAAGCCCGTACAAATGCCACAAAGATCGTGAATTGCAGAGTAATTCGGACGGACAGTTCGCGTGTAACACTGAGCAAATTGGTGCTTGCCCATTTCACGGTTGATTATAAATGGCGAGAAAATTGCCAATTTGTGTATTAGTGGAGCCCAGAGGAATCCTGCTAAGGCTAAAGTATTCTGTCGTTCAGCTGCTTGCTGTGAACACAGCAACACCTGTGAGGTGCCGATTAGCGCTGTTTGAATTTGCAAACAGAATAGTGTTAACCCTAACCTTCCCAGACCTCACAGAATTAAACAGTAGTAAAGTGTTTAATTCCATGGGGATAGGCCTGGTAGGCCCATAACAGCTGGCTTTTGCATTGGGTTTGGCATACCTCAGAGAAACAAAGTCCTACAGCCTCTGTGCACAAAGTCCCATATGGGTGTTCAACTTTGTGTGAATGGGGAAGGTTAGGGCCAGCAACCCTTAGGGGGTAGGGTTAATTAATGTGTAGGCTTTTGTTAATAGTCAGTGTCTCTGCATTACCAGGCTCCCCACAGCCCCACCTCTCTTCATTGGTGCATGTTGACAGCCCCACCTCTATTCATTGGTGCATGTTGACTGAAGGTGCCAGGGAGAGAAGTTCAAATTAATTGGATCAGCGTTTGCTGAATTACAAGTGTGTATTAGACCAGGGGAAAAGTGACTGAACAGAGTTTGACCCCCGTAACCCCTGGATCAAGAGACAGCAGGTTGCTCAGTTTTATTGTATGTTGATTGGTTTCTTATCATTTGGTACATGTATTTTGTCAGTGTTCTGACATGTCTAGGTATGCTTGTGACAAACTGAGGAGGTCTTTGCATGCTTTGTAGCTTAAGGGAGAGATGTGTCAGGAATTGTCCCGATTTCAGGATTTGTTTCAATTTCATTGGAATTTTCCTGATTCCCGGATTTTTTATCCTGAGTTTAACACCTGGAAAATCCTGAGATTATCATGAAGGTGTTTCTCGGTATAAGACTTGATTCAGAAAAATCAATAATGGGTATTTTAAGGGGTACCTTCAGGCAAACACCATTGTATTCTGTAGACTCTGTGTTGCTGTATGGCCTCTCAAAACTTCTGACGATGATTTCATTTTTTTCTAATCTCAACCCCAGACTTCGCGAGGAATTTACAACCCTAAATCGGGATGCCGTTGATGTTGCATGCTTTAGCAAACCTGTGAAACAGCTGTCACATAAAACTCAAAAGAGCTAAAAGGGAAAAATGTTTCTTGGAATAACTATTTTTTTTTTTCAGTCACAAAGAGTCAGAAGAATCTCATCACCAAGCGAAGGTTCTCTTTTCATCAGTGTTTGGTCAGGCGAGGTGAAAAATTGAAAAATCCGATTAAAACTCTTTGTAGTTGTGCTTTGTGCAGAGGTGCCACGAAACAAACATGACAGTCTGCCACCGCAAAAGTATCGCACATAAAAGAGAAAGAGGAATGTCAAATACCGCAGTACGGTTGGATATTAAAGATACACATGCATGCCAAAAGAGCTACACAGGCAGCCTGACCTGCGCTGGAAAAGTTGACTTGTGATGAAAGAGTCAACAGCAGGGGCGAAGGACAAACGTGATGGGAATGCAAGCTTTGTCTCTTCTCGTGACTGGGATTTTTTTTTTCTGCAGTCAACTTCGAACTTCAGTGTTGCCTCAGAGCATATAGCCTAGCTGCTTTGGGCCTTGGTAATACTTTGGACACTCTGCTCGCTTTACTTTAAAAGAAGAAATACGAATAAAGAACTCATTCTTAAACACATTTTCCTTTGAAGGAGCAATCTAATCTGGGGTACTTTTTTTTAATTAAAAATTCTCATTGGGAGACCTCAAAATGTTATATTTTATGTGTACCACACGCATCGAGGATTTTAGAAAAAAATGTTCAAGAAGTTGTGTCTCCAAAAATGCATTTTTTTCTTTTCAAAGCAGTTGAATCTGCACGATTTCAAAGCATGCATTATGATTATGCGGCTTGACTGCAGATAAGATAATCAGGGATGGAGATACCTTTGCAGAGCACATGTAGTCCTGAGATCTTGAAATGTATCCACGGCAAACTCTACATACGCTAATGCACTTGTGGAGCTCGGTCCTGGCATTGAGAAATGCAAATGTTACTGACTTCACTGCCAGAGAGTCTGAGCCTGTGTGTTCCAACATGTTTTCATTGTCGAAGAATATACATACGAGAGAGTGTTGAAGCATTTGATTAAATGTACAGACACCTGGTTCACTGCAAGGGCCTGTCTGACATCCCTGCTTGACCTGCCTATCCCTGGGGGGGGGGAGATGGGTGTGGAAAGGGAGAGGATGTTATATACAATTAGCATTGATTATGAAAGGAAAGTACGATAGCCCAGCATGTGACAGGTGTAATCCAGCATTGCACTCTTGGACATGAGTGATGCGGACGTGCATGCTGACATAGGCTTCCATCGAGTTGCCCAATAAAGATTTGGGGAATGGCCTTCTACATGCAGCGTGTGCGCCATAAAAATGCAAACACGTTCCTGTAACACTGAAGGAAGTGGATGTATAATGCGCTCCGGTGTAATTCTCCTGTTTGCAAACTTGACACCACTTTGTGCACATTCTGTCGAAATTTAGCCCAAGCCGAACCACATGCGCATGTTAATGTTTCTCTCTGCTTTCCGTCATACAGCCACCCATAGGCCTACAAAGTGTCCACAAGGTGTCCATGAAAATATGTTCCATACTTGCGGACAGGGCATGTGCTATGTACATGTACATTACATGTAAACCCTTCTTTATTGCACGAGGTGCGTGATTGAACTGTCCAAGAGGCCACAAGTGCAACAAGAGACCTCTGCGGTCGGCACACTCATACTTCTTATAAACAGCACAAAGAGCCCCCCATAAGCTATTCATATTAAATCTCCCTCCAGCAAATTGACAGGGATCGATAGCAACACCAGCACTGTGTCAAGCAGCTGGTACTTCACATTTTTCTCACCAGTGAATGAGGGGTGAGTTATTTTGTAGAGTCCGAAGGGAGAGGCGGGGCGCACATGAAATGAATCCTTGTATTGTCCGCGACTTCCTGCCCCTGTCAATTCCTAACCATTTTGGCCTCCACCCTACAGTGGGGCTTTTTGTTGTCTAGCCCTAACCTCAAAATATGAGTAATTAACAAACTATTAGGGGGAATATTTTGTGGTTCCTGATTTTTTTTTTTTTTTTTTTTTTTTTGGTGGCTGACTTGAGCACTGAACAAAATGTGCAATGGGTGATTAGTCTTACAGTCAGAAATTTACTGAATTATTCCTCGCACGGACATTTTTCAGTGCATCAAATCTAGGATGTATAAGATTACATGTATGTGCCTAAGTAGTGTAGATACACAGGAGTGGCATGGACTGTAATGTACATGTACAAACCTACAAGCTAGTAGTAGTACAGGAACGCAGGCCCCCAGTATGCTTTTCAAGACCCGACCTTGACATTTTATGATCACAAAAGACTTGATTCAAAGGTACAGAATGCCTCCTTAACTGCTTAAAATTTTACCTGTGCTGTCCCCTGACTGCATTGACTAAAGAAAAAGAAAAGATACATTGATTTATTCCGCTGATTGCTCTGCCTAAATCTAATAAATTTGCAGTTGTACCGTTTTATACATGGACTGCACAGTGTTATTAACAGGTCCGTAATGTATTATTCTGCGCTGGGCATGTGCCATGTACTGTACATGTATTCACATGGTGGTTACACCTGTACGAAGATCAATGTGCTCAGATCAATGGGGCTTAACCAATCCTGAGCTGTGTGCAGGCGGGTGGTGTGCAGTACCTCAGGGAGGCACTTCAGGGTGTGTATGGCATATGTGCCCGGAAAGAAAAAAGTCTCATTTGGGGGGTGTACTGTACCCTTAGGCTAGGCATGGGAGATACCGTGCAGGGCACACAGGTATATCCCATTCCTGTCACAAATTGGCAGGGATGTGGTTCTGTGTTTATTGGAAAGCTCATAGTCCTACAATTGACACATTGTCCAAGACCCACTTTGTAGAGAGGGACTCGTAATTTTCAGTTTGGAATTTTTTTTGTAGACGGTTAGTAGCGGGTAATACAGCAATTTGGATAGAGAGCCTTCCGCGGTAGTGTGGAAGAGGGCAGTTGGTAAAAACAAAGTCACTTGGGTAGCGTGCTATTCTTCCAGGTTGGTTTGTTTTGGAAAGAAAATCATGCAACCAAGTGATACCTGACCGTCATGAGAACCAGTGAGTTCCAACAACCAGAAACAAAGAGTATTCCTTTATTCCTTCATGCACCTGTCATGGGGAGACATGACCCAATTTGGCCACCACTCGGATGTGGGAATTCAGCTTGATAGCGGATTTCAGCTTCTTTTGATTAGATGTTGACCCTGAATTTCAGCTTTTTTGTACACCTGGTCCGTACAGAAGTATGGGAACCTTTTTTACATTTCAGATTTTTGCTAGCTGTTTTCAGCTTCAATTTTAAGTGGTCCCCTCACACCCCTGATTACTGATGACACATACTGTACATTGTCAGTGTTGTACAGGCAAGCACACCGACCTCTTCTATCAACTACCATCCACATTTATCGATAGGCAAACTTCGCGTAGTAACCCCAAAATTGGAATCTTCCCAAAACAACAGTGCAGTACTAGGTGTGTACACGTAAACTTTGTTTTATCGTTGTGTGACATGGTGGTTGTATAGCGGTTACCGGGCACCTGGTTCCCACTTAAATCGTCGTCCTGTCGGTGAACATTCTCATAGTTGTTATGTTTGTACACATCAGGTACATGGGGGTTGTCACCCGTAAAAGAAGTGGAGCTTTGTGATACCGGGAAACAGGATGAGAGCACCTACAGTGCAAATATTTTAACCGGTAACCGAATGCCATGACAAAATACTGGGTCACTTCCGTTGGCAAAGTTCTGAGATTGTGGTGGTGATATTTTGGAGTGTTGACTTAGTGTTTATGAAAGCTTGCTGACTAATTTTGGGAGGGAGTGAATTCTAAAATAAGATATGTGGGTGTTTTTTTTTTCATGGCCAAGGTGTGTGGTAAATAAAGGATTTGAGAAGATAAATCCTATTCAGCAGTTCTTTCCTTTCAACTTAAAATTTTGTCCCCCCCCTATTTATTTGTTTGTTAATTTGTTTATAATGTTTTTATATTTGAATTTGTTTTCAAGTATGGGCCCACGTACGCGTAGCTGTAGTAAGGACTATTTTTTTAAGTTTGTCAAAGAATTTTTCAAATTTATCCCCAACTCACTCCGTAAATTTTGTTAATACAAACTCCCACAAACTGGCAGGCTCTTTCTAGCTGCTTGAACAAACTCCAAATAGGAAAGCGACAGACACTTTGTGTTGGGATTAGGTCGCTAAATTACATTTGTGGATTCCACCAAAACTGATTTGGGGTAGTACTTCCTGATTCAACGCGGCCTGTAACCTGTGCAGTTGTTTTTTTCCCCCAAATATAGTTATTCTCGCTTATTGATCTTTCCGTAGGCTGCTCGTGGGCGCACCCAAAGCACAGACTCCACAACCTGATGTCGTCGAAGGGGGTGCCGTCTATAAATGCCCCGTCCATCCACCAAGAAGTCCTGGGAATTGTGAACAAATACCCTTTGACTTAACAGGTAAGGGATTTCAAAGATGTTGTTTTATATTTGAAATGTGATTCAAGAGGAAGTTGGCTTCCCCTCACTCAAAAAAGTTAATACACCCCTACTAAAAAAAAACAAAAGATGTGGTATCCTCCCCAAAATGGTACATAGCTTATTTTACCCATTTCAGCAAGGCTTTAGAGAGTTTTTTTTTTAAGTTGTAAAGTTTTTAAGTTTCTGATAACTAGGTCAGGAAATGTGGGGTTTTTTCTTCTCAAATTCCCATTGCCCCTGTGTTGTTTTTAAAAATCTTCCTCCTATAAAAGTGATGGGCTCGGAGAAATGGACTTAAGAATACAGGAATCATGATATTTTGAAACTACGTGTAAATTGTATATTCTCAGGTAACATTCATTATTGTGATATTTGTAAGTAAACCGTGTGGCTCATTTCTGTTTTTTTGCACTGGTAAATCAGTTAAAGATGAACTCCCATTGATGAGTACAAATCAGATCATCTGATTTCCGAGCATCAGCGAACAAGCAATTTCTGTGACCTCAGCAGTGAGACCTTGGGCTTTTGGGTTTTCTGTTGTCGCTCTTGTTGACTTCACAATAGAGAATATTTGCAAGGCCTCGTGCCATGCGTGCCAGGCAGGCTTTTTGGGGGAAATTGAGAGAGCCGTCCAATTCTTCAGTCAAAAGTGGGTCAGACAGAGGTGCTTCCGGCAAGGTTTGATCCCTGAAAAAACATTTGGCATTGCCGGGTCGCAGCCAAACCAAATCAGGCGGCGCTAGAATTTGCACAACCCGTCCTGTGCTGCCAGGGTTTGATTGTGTTTGGGTGTGAGGCGGGCACGTGAAGACACAGTTTCAAGATTTGACCTTAATTTTTTAATGCAGTTGATTTGCATTTAAATACTTGAAAGAAAATGTTCTGGGAATAAAACTATACTGAAATTCACGGTAGGACCATCTATAAACTCAAGTAATTTTGCTTTTGTGGACACCTGTTCATGAGCTTATAAGGCACATTTAATGTGTATTTATAAATACCTTAGACATTTTTTTTATTCCTATTGGTCGAAACATGTCACGTGACCGTGTATTAATTAACATTTGATTATGCCCTCTTAAAAGTGATAATGTCCGTTGGGTAAATCATGAGCTAGAACATGGATACGAGAGTTTAATCGGGTCTGATTGGTCAGGAGTCTGTGTACACGTGATGCATGATCGACGTGCAACACACGTGCCAAGTTCATTTGAAGGGGATTCTATTGGGCAACTTTCAAAAGGAATGTACCATAAAATGGACTGGGGTGTAGGAGAAAATGAAAGTAAATTTTTGAACAAAATCATTGGAAATCCATCACATGTTGACTTCTTTTGACTCTCTGAATAAAAAGGTATTTATGAATGGGGGCATAAATACGTGCAGCTTAGGCATTAGTCGCATCCATTCTCCTGAGCCGGTCTCAAATGCACGTTCAAGACCGGCTAAGCACATATTTATTCCCTTATTATTTGAATAGGCTGTGCACTCTGCTTTACTTGTTCACTTGCAAAGGGTGGCATGACTGGATGTCCTGTATAGTACATTTAGATGTTAGATTTCCTCAAAACGCAAAAAAAACCCAAAAAAATACACAGATTCCAAATGTGAGCAAACTTTCAAGGTGAAAGCATTTTCACTTTGTATGCAGGTCACACTGTCGATGACAGAGGAGGACAGATTGCTGACAAATCGCACCAGTGGTTTGGCGCATCGCTGAAAAGCGCCGGCCCGGATGGCCGGGTAGTGGTGAGTTAGTTTATTTTCTTTTCTGGATCAGTTCCCCAAGCCCTGATTACCGGTACACACAAAGTTGCCAACACCTTCCACTTTTAGCTGACTATTAATTGGACCTTACCCATTTCTTCCGTGATTCGGTTTAGGCACTAGGATTTATGCAGCTGATGTTTTGCCTAACGTGCAAATCTGACAAAAAGGTAACATTGTTTCCCCCCCGGCAAGTTGCTTTGAATTTTAGGCACTTGCGTCCATGTGAAGGTGATTAATCTGGGGGGTTTTTTGGGGGGAGGGGAGGAAATTGGTTCCAGATCTGACCACTGAGTGAAATAACTGCCAACCTCCATTTTTCTAGATGTACTATTAGCTGCTGTGAGAATTATCGCCATCCGTGATTTGTTCCTCCCGTTCGGTGTTTCCTCCTGTTCGGTGTCAATTTCCAATTACCTCATGCCATTTGTTCCAATTTCCCCGCTTTTCCCGCCCAAATCCCCACCGTCGGCTGTGATAATTAACCAGTTTTTATTTAATTTCCAATCCCTCCCCTCCCATTGGTTGACTCGGCGCATGTAAACTTCAGGCATGTGCTCCCCGGTACACGTGGTTCTACACTGCAGATATGAAGGATGACGAGCGGGAACCGGTCGGCCACTGCTACGTCAGCGACGGCCATTTCTCCAACATCGTTGATTTCTCGCCGTGTGAGACAAATGACAGTAAGTGTAAATCCCCCGTGGCCATTTCCGATTTTTGGATCTGTTTAAGTATGTGATCAATGCAATTCTAGCCGGAGTACGAAAGCTTTATGCTTCAAGAAAATCCTGTGGTTAAGAGTTTGACAGTGCAATCTTCTCATACATGTAAGCAACGGGGAAAGGTCTGTAGAGATCAGACAGTATCGTCCTCAGAAAGCTTGGAAAAAGCTTGATCCTTGGGGTGCTTGTCGGTGAAATTGTCCCCATGCAGTACAGTTTGTCAAAACTGACTCCGCATGTCAAACTCTGTCCAGATTCCAGTGGGATAAGGCCACTACTTTCGGAATTACCAAAAGTCAAGCTGTCACATAAAAAAAATGCTGACAGAACACTGTGTGTCAGTTTGCTGAAAGATTTATTGGTTTAGGAAGCTGATATAGTGGGCAGTATAGTTTTACTGCCTGTTTTTTGAAGGTTTCTGTGAAATTAAGAAACCTTCAGCATTTGGAAATGCTCCATTTTTAAAAAGTTTGTACAGAAGAGTGCACTTCTTTGACCTTGTCAGTCAGCTTTAGAGAAGTTATTTTTGCCAGGACAGTTTCTGTTCCGTTTGTTATGTGTTGACCCCCATCTGTTTACCTTTTCGCGATCACACTCGGGGAATTGTAGTTGGAAATTCCCCATTACTCAGACACCAATGCCCAAGGTGCGTGCATGCCGTAAGACACAGGGGGATTTCGTGCGGTAGCCGTTACGTTCTGAAGGCCAGTGATTTCACAACTCACTCCTAATCAGGAAAATCCTCCTGCGTAGGTTCTCCCCTTTTGAGATTGTGTCATGATGCCTTTGGGTAACCTGATGGTGCTGGCGTACGCCTGAAAGGGAAGTTGAAAAGTGCAGTTGGTGGCTCCTTTCAGAGCGTGCGATACAAATAAGAGGACGGGGGGAAATTTATAGTGAGCGCTTGTCAAACCTTGCCCGCAACTTCTCTGCTAGAAAGGTGTTGACCCCAACCCCATTCTGATTTGATTGTAGCAAGTTGCAGAGTCCAACAAAATCCCACAACAGCAGTGTGTGGATTTGTAATGGAATCTGGTAGCCCAAGCAGCGAACCAACAAAGTTCTGTGATCCACGTTTTTTTTTGTGTGTTGGTTTTTTTTCTCCTGAAACCCTTCCACATTTCCAAATCTACCTAGAGGTTTTGGAGGGATTGGTAGGATGGAGGATGGTGCATTGGATGTTGAAGTACAAGGACTTTGGCATGAGATTCCTGAGTTCAAAGGATTCCAGAAGGTGCTTTACAAACAATGCCTCAGGAATCAATGTCAGACTTGAAGAACAGAACAGCAATAGAATATGCTGTGTTACCTCGACAAACAATCGCTCGGATGAGAGTGGCGAAAAAACAAACAAACAAACAAACATGATGTACATCTTAAATATACAAAACTCTGCACGCTGTCAGATGCAAGCAATGAAACCAAAACTGAAAGAAGAAAAAGCCTCCAAAAGCAGCTGCCAAAGTTCCTGGTCAGGTTTCGTTATTGATGGTAAACAGATGCAAAACCTAAGCACTGACAAAAGAGGAACGTAAAATGTGTATTACATTCTGTTCATTTCCAACGGCCGGCAGAAAGTGCATTGTCATGCATCATTTTTTTTTCATAAACGCCATGATAAATGAGCTAATTTTACCAGAAGGATTCTTACATCTTGTGTTATTTTTTTTGGGGGGGGGACTTCTTTATGAATCCCTCCCAGTTATTTACTTTTTCCTTGTCCACCAGTCTCCATGCATCTTTCATCCACTGATCCCCGCCGAACAAACCGCAGCTCGCCCCAGAGATTGACTAAGAGTGCCTTTGTTTATAGCCCATCGCTGGCATCTCGTCTGATTACCAAAACGTCCCCGCATCTAAAGCCGGTAATTACTTGATGAAAGTGACATTGCCGGGCATCTGACAGGGCTGGCCCGTCTGGTGCACACACTGGCTGTGCACAGAGGCCTCCGTTAATTGATTTTTTTCAATTTACAGTGCGAGCAGCGAGAAGTAGCATGTAGCAGCTGACATTGTACCAACTTCAAAGCCGGTGTAACTGCGCACAAGCGTGCATGTGAACAGGCCACTGTAGGCCAGAATGACAATTTCTTCCGCACCCCCCCAAAAATATTTTTGTTTGATACTGACACAAGTTCTTGTACATCCTGCGTCCTTAACCTCCTGGGGAAGAAAAAGGTCCCTTGTTTATTGATTGATAAATTGAAGCACAAAGAGTTGTGGACAAGATGGAGAGGAAACTTATTGAATCAATTCTCTCGGAGCGCTGATATGTACTCATGAAGGATGGAGCTTGCTGGCCCAAAGTGTGTTGGTCACAGTCCCGCTGACTCAGAAAGCGAGGATTTTTTTTTCCTTGAAATCTGACTCCCTGGAACCAATGAGCCTGCGGCGCCTTGCAGACTCTCGCTTCTTTCAGCAGTTTGTCTCCCTGTTTTTCAGGGAGACTTCTTCAGACCCGGCCGGGAAAAAAAAGGGGGGACGCGGGGGATTGTTTCATGATTTAAGACTCCTGAATCACCGGACAGAGTTTCAAATCAACGGTTTTCGTCACACGGCGTCACGCACGGCGCAACGCAAGGCCGGCGCGGCTTGATTAAAATTTGTGATTATTTTCAGTGTGACTCACCCAGCAAACTCCTCCACTAGATTGCTTTGTTCTTTCTAAGTTAGGAAAGTTGGGGGAGGGGAAAAGGGCTGGGAAAGCCATCAAGTGTGTTGAGCTTCAGTGTACATTCAATACAAGCAATCTCACCGTTGGCTTTGAAAATCCACAAAGAAATTCCAAATTAGCAATCAATTTTGTCAAAACACTCTCGATGGGGGGGGTGGGTGCATATGTTCTGCAGTTTTTGGTAATCTGAGTGGACAGGCATACTCGCATCCTACCAAAGAAAAAGAAGACCTCACATTTCTGAAATGAGAGCTATTTGCCAGACTGCACGTATGCTGATTAACATAGAGTGTCATGCATCCTAATGGGTTTTGCAGACCCATCCATTTATCACTCCAGAACCGCTTCATACAATCCGCTGATGCGTGCCGCAAATTTATGATGTTTATGTTTTCCTCCAGGGTTGAGAGTTTTGCTAAATTTCTGCATAGGCTATACTCCGCCTGTAACATTAAACAGCAAGGTACACCTCTGACGCTATTTGAACGAGAAAGTGAGATTTTTCTGATGGTACATGTACCCTGTACGTTGTGTGTTGCCTGCACAAATGGTAGATCACTCTTATTGTGTACATAGTCCTTTTGTTAGACATGACGAATTTGCCCAGTGAAAATATTTAAATATTCATAATGCATGGTCTATAAATTGAAAGGTCCCGTATGTTCTCAAGTACGGAACCTTCATACAGAATTCCAAATTGATGAAGTCATAGATTGCACTTTGGATAATGGAGATGTGGCACTACGCAGGGAAATCCAAAGTATGGAGTTCTGTATGGAAATTAATTTTGAGCATACTATAAAGAGGATCCCTAGTACTAACACAGATGGTTCCAACCAGCAGAACACCGTGATCTCCAAAAAACGAAATCCCCATGGGCTTAAACTGCTTAACGTCGTCCATCTTCAGTGTCTTCACTTGTCACCAAGACATGTTCTACATGTATGCATCACCCGGCAGATAATTGCAAAAACACACCACCACCACCACAGCCCAGCGACTTTTTAGCTGGAATTTTTGAGGAGCTTTTCTTTGCCTGCCTATATTAGGAAGTGATGAGACAGCTTATTGGACTCTCCTGTGGGAAGTTGGACTGCGTTCGCTGTCATCAGTCCTCTGAGTTTGAACATTTGTTTCCGTTGTTTCGTTTGCCCCTATATCGATCCCAAAATGCTGATTTCAAAGAGATCAAGTACCAGTTTACATTTGTGGGGCTCTCAAACGTGTCACAAAAGGTCCCCAAAATTAAGAGGATGGTCTTTCCCACTGTCCTGTCAAAGTCTCCAAGATCAGAAGCAGATATGATTGGATATGAAATGTTTTCTTTCCCCAAAACTACGATAACAAATTGCAACGGTGCTTAATTGCAACAAACACACTGAGATGAATCAGCGTTGAGAACAAGTCTCATCATGTGTGTGGAAGGAGCCACAAATCAGACTAGGTTTGGTATTTATTCCTGCCTCTGAGTGATTAGCGTTTGAAAATATTTTGAAGTTCCCCCGTGCAGTAGTACTAAAAAACCAAATGATTTGCATGCTGTGCACATGCAAATGGGGGACGGCTAAATTCTGACGTGATGTATGAAACACAGTTGAGAACCACTTCTAAACGACACCGCAATTCTAGTACGCTCTAAAAACAAGTGATCCACAAGGGTGGGTCAACGATCATGCTTTGCTCCGAAGGAAGAAAAAAAAGAAAGCGGCCTTTGCATGTACAGTGGCTGTTTTTGAAGAAAGGTGGGTGGGCGGAAAGCTGCACCGAACAGATTCCTGAATTCTGTTTTTCTCTCTTCTCTCTGTGGTTTTTCTTTTTTTAGTGGGGGGGGGGCTGAATTTGGCCCTCTTCATGAATGATTAAAATGGGAAAACAAGACACTTCAGAAGCCTGTCAGATGGGATATAGTGTCCAGTTTGCGGTTGACAGCAGCCGGGCCGTGCATGCGTGTGCATTGCATGCTGGCTTGGCATTCTGTGTACTAAGTTTCACCGCGGGGCCGCCGGACAGTGATGTGGATGCACTCACACTTTCAATGAAAAAAATGACACCAATTCCGACTGCAAACCCTAAGAGAAATTCACCTGAATTCTACAGATGTCGCAAGTAGTTCTCATACTTGAACCATCAGCACCCAAACAGCAGGTGTATAATGTGTGGTGTATCAGGCGCCATTACACTGCGGAGCTATTTTACAATAGTGGAGTATTTATAAATTGTCTTCAATTGTTTGTTTATTTCTGGACATTTGTCAGAGTCCTTTTTCTTACAGATGGTCTTGGCTCGT